ACCTGGATTGAGTTTCAGACTATTGGCTTTGGCCTGGAGCAGCTCCAGCTGTTGCAGGCATTTTAGAAGTAAACCAGGCCGGCGCCGTGGCTCACTTGGCTAATCCTCCACCTGCAGCGCTGGCACCCCGGGCTCTAGTCCCTGTCGGGATGCCAGGTACTAGTCCCGGCTGCCCCTCTTCCAGTCCAGCTCTCTGCTGTGGCCCGGGAGTGCAGTGGAGGATGGCCCAAGTACTTGGGCCCTGCACCCCATGGGAGACCAGGAGGAAGCACCTGGCTCCTACTTCGGATCAGCACAGTGCCGGCCATAGCGGCCACCAGGGGAGTGAACCAACAGAAGGAAGACCTTTCTCTCTGTCTCTCACTGTCTAACTCTCTCTCTAACTCTGCCTGGCCAAAAAAAAAAAAAGTAAACCAGAGGATAGATGGAAGATCTCTTTCTTTCTGTCTCTTCTCTGTGTGCGTATATCTGCTTTCAAATAAAAATTAACAAGCAGCAGCCGGCGTCGTAGTCCAGTGGGATATCTGCTTGCAGCGCCAGCGTCCCGTGTTGGAGCACCAGGTCAAGTCCCGGCTGCTCAGCTTCTGATCCAGCTCCTGGGAAGGCAGAGGAAGGCGGCCCAGGTTCTTGTAACCCTGCCACCCCTGTGGGATCCAGATACAAGTCCAAGCTCTTGGTTTAGGCCTGGCCCAGCAGCAGTCCAGCAGATGGGAAATCTGTCTCTCCCATTCTGCCTTTCAAATAAGCCAATGGGTTTAAAATTTTTTTCATGGCTGGCGCCGCGGCTCACTTGGCTAATCCTCTGCTTGTGGCGCCGGCACCCCGGTTCTAGTCCCGGCTGGGGCGCCAGATTCTGTCCCGATTGCTCCTCTTCCATTCCAGCTCTGCTGTGGCCCGGGAGTGCAGTGGAGGATGGCCCAGGTGCTTGGGCCCTGCACCCGCATGGGAGACCAGGAGGAAGCACCTGGCTCCTGGCTTCGGATCGGCGCAGCGCCAGCCGTAGTGGCCATTTTGGGGGGTGAACCAACGGAAGGAAGACCTTTCTCTCTGTCTCTCTTTCTCTCTCACTGTCTAACTCTGCCTGTTAAAAAATTTTTTTTCTTTTTGAAATTTGCAAATAAAATTGCAAGGGCAGTTTTTAAAAATTGACACATAGTACTTGTAGATATTTACGGGATATAGTGTGGCATTTCAATACAGTGTGTAACAGTCACAGCAGGATAACTGATGTATCACCTCAGACTTTTTGTTTAGGAAACATTCACAGTCCTTCCTGGAAATTAGGAAGTACACTGTTAATAGTTGCCAGCAGTACTACAGACACGAGGCTTACTCTGGGGCACGCACTTGGCGCCAGTGTTAGTCCTGCTCCGTTTCTAAGTCCAGTGCTCATGCGCACCCTGTGAGGCAGCGGGGAAAGCTCCAGCGCCAGGGGGCTGCCACCCCGTGGAAGCTCAGATTGAGCGCTAGACCCCTGACTTCTGGGCCTGTCCCTGGCTGTGGTGGGCCTCTGGGGAGCGAACCAGCTAATGGAATCTACCTTTCATGTAAACAACAACAAAGAATTTTTTTAGAGGTACTCCTGTCCGCCTGCACCCCTGTACCAGTTAACTTCCTCTCCTCCCACCCGTCCCAGGTTCTGGTAGCCATGCTCTATACTTTGAGATCACCTGTTTCAGCTTCCCCATATAAATATTTGTCTTTTTTGCCTGGCTGATTTCTTTTTTAAAGATATATTTTATTTATTTGAAAGTCAGAGTTACGCAGATAGAGAAGGAGAAGCAGAGAGAGAGAGAGAGAGAGAGGTCTTCCATCTGCTGGTTCACTCCCCAATTGGCTGCAACAGCTAAAGCTGTGCCACTCCAAAGCCAGGAGCCAGGAACCTCATCCAGGTCTTCCATGCGGGTGCAGGGGCCCAAGGACTTGGGCCATCTGCTGCTGCTTTTGCAGGCCATAGCAGAGAGCTGGATCGGAAGTGCAGCAGCCGGGACTTGAACCGGCGGCCATATGGGATGCCTGCTATTACTCCAGTGTGTATATATACCACATTTTCTTTAGCCGTCCATCAGCAGACACCTAGAGTGATGCCATGCCTTTGCTATCGTGAATAATTCCACAGGAACATGCTGGGTGTAGATGTTTCTGTGACAGATGATTTCGTTTCTTTGGTTAGATTTTTTTGAGGAACCTCCGTACTGTTTTCCACAGAGGCTGCACTAGTGTATGTTCTTTCCCCTCTCTCCACATCTTTGCCATCACTGCCTTGTGTCTTTTTTGATAATATCCGTCGTAGCTAGGAAGAGATGATAGCTCATGGTGGTTCTGATTTGCACTCCGTGAGGACTAGTGATGGTGAACGTGTTTCCCTAACCTGCTGGCCATTTGTGTATTGCCTTTGAGAAATGTCTGTTCAGGTCATTTGTTCATTTTCAAGTCAGATTGTTTGTTTTGAAGACAGTTTTTAAATATCATCCTAAAAGATAAGGAAAACCATACACCTGGAAATAGATGGTGGTGGTCAGAACACTGTGTCGTTAATATGATTTCTGTGTGATGTTTTTCCTGATGCCTGAAAACTCAAGGACAAGAAGAAGAAATATGAACCTCCTGTACCAACCAGAGTGGGGAAAAAGAAGAAGAAAACAAAGGGACCAGATGCTGCCAGCAAACTGCCACTGGGTAACAGATTGACGCCGTCTTTCCAATTCCTTGGGCAGCCATCTCTACCTGTAGCATCCAGTGTGAACAGAGAGACAGGGAATGAGGGGGAGGGGCGGAGGCCCTGCAGGGATTCCATTCTGCCTAACTGCTGTATGTGGCATTCCTCTGGCTATGACATGAAAATTATGCTTTGTTTTAAAATACAGTATCATGTGTCTTAAATAGCCAGCTCGCTAGTGTATTTTTATTTTATTTTATTTTATTTTATTTTTATTTTTTTTATTTTTTTTATTTTTTTTTGACAGGCAGAGTGGACAGTGAGAGAGAGACAGAGAGAAAGGTCTTCCTTTGCCGTTGGTTCACCCTCCAATGGCCGCCGCAGCCGGCGCGCTGCGGCCAGCGCACCGCACTGATCCGATGGCAGGAGCCAGGAGCCAGGTGCTTTTCCTGGTCTCCCATGGGGTGCAGGGCCCAAGCACCTGGGCCATCCTCCACTGCACTCCCTGGCCACAGCAGAGGGCTGGCCTGGAAGAGGGGCAACCGGGACAGAATCCGGCGCCCCAACCGGGACTAGAACCCGGTGTGCCGGCGCCGCTAGGCGGAGGATTAGCCTAGTGAGCCGCGGCGCCGGCTCGCTAGTGTATTAACAGTGGAGCTTTAGATTACAAAACCCAGATAAAACAGAAGCAACTCAGAAACACACATTATTGCATGAAATGAAGTTGCCTCCGTATTGGGTTCAGATCACGTGGTGCCTGCCTTCCTGTGAACACAGACCAAGTCTCCGCCCAGGGGACCTGACCTAGCCCTGCCGCACCGCCCGCCCATCGGCCCCACGCCTTGAGGGGCCTTGCCCTTACTCTTCCCTCTGCGGGCCACCTTCACATTCCTTCAGGCTTCAGCATGAAGGCCCCCCCCACCCCGAAGGAGAAACTAGCTTGCTCAGTCGAGAATGGAGGGGTCAGGGCTGGGCGCTGTGGCCCGGGTTAACGTGCTGCTTGGGACGCATGCATCCCGGACGGGAGTGCCTGGGGTGAGTCCAGTGCCAGCTTCCTGCTAGTGTGCCCCCTGGGAGGCAGCAGTGCTCAAGTGCTGGGGGCCCTGGCACCCACGAGGAAGACCTGGATGGGGTCTGTGGCGGCCTTGCCCAGACATGGTTGTTGCAGACAGTAAACTAAAAAATATTTGAAAACATGGAGTCAGATGGTGATGGTGCCATTTCAGTTTGTGCAGATTAAGATTCATACAAATGCTTATTTTCTGTCCAGGGAAAATGAAATCAGACCCCATCTCTTGCCAGGTGGTCGACCCGGTCTGCCTGACTCGGGTTTGACATTCCTCTAGGTTGGCATGAGTTACTTTTTGCTTTTATGATTTATTTTATTTGAAAGGCAGAATTACAGAGTAGGAGCGGGGAGTGAGATCAATCCTCCATCCACTGGTTCATTCCCCAAGTGGCCAGGCCTCTGCCTCTCCCTCACTCTGCCTTTCAATAAATCTCAGAGTGTTTCACTTTAAGAAATCCTATTAATTTTCTAAATAGCCAACTCCTCTTAACTCCTCTCTTTCTCTCTCTCTCTCTCTCTCTCTATATATATATACACACACACACACGCATATACGTGAAATATGTATATACATGTATATATGAAAATAATAAATGAAAATTCAGAACTATATTTAACCTTACAGCAGAAGAGGCTATTGAAGTCAAGTCAGGAAACTCAGAAACCATTAAAAAAAAACAAAGAGTGGTTGTAAATGTAAAAATCCCTGTGGCGTGAAGTTTGAAAGAAGGGAAATATGGGAACTATCTGCCTGCCATCTGTGGGACAGGGAGGGTTAATGCCCGCCACTTCGAGACTACAAATGGAGGTGATGCACCCGGCTGGCCTGTGGGCTCAGAGGTTCCTGCATCAGCCGTCCAGTGATCCTAGAGCACTGCACGTCTCGCCCCGTTTTTAAGTAAAATTAGCTTATTTCAAAAATTGTAATATTTTCCTCCTTAATTACAAACTTCTGGCTCCAAGTATAATCAAACTTTGTAATTACAGTGACACCTCACACTCAGTGCCGGCTAAAACTACTGAAGTTAGAGAGGATTAAAGACTATCTTCTCATGGAAGAAGAATTCATTAGGAATCAGGAACAGATGAAACCACTGGAAGAAAAGCAGGAGGTAAGCTGAAAAGTGACACGGGTCTGTCTTACAGATGCAGCTGTGGGCCTGTGACACACCACCACCTGCACTGCGGGTTTTCGTCAGCTGTCAGGACCTTGTACATTTTGGCTATGATCTACTTTTTCTCCTGGGTCTTTTCTCCATAGGAGGAAAGATCAAAGGTGGATGACCTGAGGGGGACCCCGATGTCGGTGGGAACCCTGGAAGAGATCATCGATGACAACCACGCCATCGTGTCGACATCTGTGGGGTCGGAACACTACGTCAGCATCCTTTCCTTCGTGGACAAAGACCTGCTGGAACCAGGCTGCTCCGTCCTGCTCAACCACAAGGTGCGCAGATGGTCTCGCAGAGCTCTCTCCTCCACTCAGCGCGGCCGCCTGTCCCACACAGGCGCTCTCCACCCTGAGCCCTGTGTTGCTGTGGTTAACACGTGGTGCTCCCTGCTAGGTGCATGCTGTGATAGGGGTGCTGATGGATGACACGGATCCACTGGTCACAGTGATGAAGGTGGAAAAGGCCCCTCAGGAGACCTATGCTGATATTGGGGGGTTGGACAACCAGATCCAGGAGATTAAGGTAGGCCTGGGGTTCAGCCTCGTTCTCCGAGTGCTGTCCTCCTCTGGGTGCTTGGGAGTTGTGTTGCATGCTTCTTTATTTTTTTTTTTTTTAACTATTTATTTTTGACAGGCAGAGTGGACAATGAGAGAGAGAGACAAAGAGAGATAAAGGTCTTCCTTTACCGTTGGTTCACCCTTCAATGGCTGCTGCGGCCGGCGCACCGCGCTGATCTGAAGCCAGGAGCCAGGTCTTCTCCTGGTCTCCCATGGGGTGCAGGGCCCAAGCACTTGGGCCATCTTCCACTGCACTCCCGGGCCACAGCAGAGAGCTGGCCTGGAAGAGGGGCAACCGGGACAGAATCTAGTGCCCCGACTGGGACTAGAACCCGGTGTGCTGGTGCCGCTAGGCGGAGGATTAGCCTATTGAGCTGCGGCGCCAGCTGCATGCTTCTTTATTGATCTGACCAAGAACAGACTCAGAGCTTGGCAGCTGTGGCTATTTTATATTCATTTTGAATTAGGAAATGGAGTAACAATAAATTGATAGTTCCTATAATATCTCACATACCAAGCATTAAGCTGCAGCCGATGCAGGAACTGTCTCTGTGAGGAGTTTGCAGTGGTGGTGACTTCGGGTTTGGTGGAACCGTAGTGTCTGGTGGCAGTGGCTGCACACCCTCACCTGGAGGCCCGGTCTGGAATGCCCCTGCAGATCCCGGGGGCCAGTGGGCAGTCAGGATGGCTGTGGGGAAGTCACCGAGCTCCCCTGGGGACCTCTCACGCAGCCGGGAAATAGGCATGTTGTCTCTAGGTGAGAACAGCAGTCCTGTGTATGGTTTTACCTGAAGAGGGTGAATTTTAGCTTTCAGTCTGAAGGGAAACTGAGTGAGCTCAGGAAGAGGGGATGGGGCTGGGAGCTCAAGGAGGACCAGTGTCAGCACGCCCTTCCTGCTGATGGCCATCAAGTGTAGCATCTGTAAGAGCCAATGACTTTTTGACTTATTTTTATTGAAATCAAGACACTGATGATGCTAATTAATGCTAATTTCAGCAAGGCATTTTTACCTGAGTGTGTGTTTTCTATAGGAATCTGTGGAGCTTCCTCTAACCCACCCAGAGTATTATGAAGAAATGGGAATAAAGCCCCCCAAGGGGGTCATTCTCTATGGTCCCCCTGGCACAGGTATGCTGTTTGACCTTTACAGGTACCCTGTGTGGAGTTGTAACTGCTGGCCTGGCAAGTGATGACACTGCAGCATTTCTGAACGCTCCTGAACACCCATTTTAAACATGTGGAGTGTGGCCAAGCCTGGCCGCCAGCTACTACTGAGAAACTGTCCCATGGTGTTCATTCTCCTGGCCCAGTGGTACTGAATAAATAGGTTGGGTGATTTAATATATGAATACATATGGGGTACTTTAAAAAAGATGCAAAATTTCCAGGCACTTTTTGAAGATTGATTTAGGTGAAAGGCAGTTACAAAGAGAGAGAGAGGTCTTCCATCTGCTGGTTCACTCCCCAGATGGCCACAGCTGCACCAATCTGAAGCCAGGAGCCTCCCCCCAGTCTCCCACACAGGTGCAGGGGCCTAAGGACTTGGGCCATCTTCCACTGCTTTCCCAGGGCATAGCAGAAAGCCAGATCGGAAGTGGAGCAGCCAGGACTCGAACAGGCACCCACGTGGGATGAAGGTACCACAGGCAGCAACCTCTCCTGCCACACCACAGTGCTGGCCCCAGCATTATCTTTTAATTCTGTTTTTTTCTATGTACTTTTTGGAGCCCCTTCTCGTTGCATTCACTATGCAGTAAGTCGTCCTGAATGATTTGTGGAGTCCAGGAGTTAGCAGTTCATCGCTACGCAAACTCTAAAGGAAGAGCGCTGCTTGCTCAGATGGATCTGTGCTGAGGATTGCCCACGCAGGAGGGACTGGGAGACAGTTGGCCCCAGAGGGCTGGAGCTGGAAGAGCTCTCTGGTGGGCCCTCATCTTCCAGCTCAGGAAATGACATGTGGAGGCAGTGACTAACGCAAGGCCCAGGAGCTCCGAGAAGTGAGCTGACGACAGGGCTGAAACTGGAACGCAGGCTCCTGACACAAGGTCATGTGGCTTCTGCAGGCCACTGTCGGAGCAGCACCTTCGTGCCCTGGCCTTCTGGCTGTAGCAGCAGTTAGAGCTGCCTGCTTCCAGGCCGTAAGATCCCACCCTTGTAGTCTGCCGCCATCCTTAATAGAAGACTGGCCTGCACCTGAGAACATCAGTCTTTGCACCTGCCACTCTGCCTGGCCCACCAAGGGAACATCCCTGCCACGTGTTGACAAGCTTAGCTCCTGTTCTTGCCGTTCTGTGAATCCCTCCACGCCACTCCCTGGCCAACCACCAGCTCCTCCTCCTCCTCCTATGGATCTGTGGTGGGCAGTTCTTCCCTCACTGCCTCTGTCTGAGGCAACTGCCCAGCCATTGCCTACGCTCTCACCATCAGAGGCCAGACTACTGTTCTCGAAGTGGGTGCTGTCTGCTCTTGCTGGACCTGGGAAACAGATACACCAGTACTGGAAATAGGGGAGGTCTTCCAGGAGACTGATGTGAGGAACTGCCGCCTCCTCAGGCATGAGAGGAGTTTCCCAAATTTCTACAGTGCTCACTGTGCACTTCGTCAGGAGCTAGGCTGGCAACAGCTCACCTGGAAGTTAACTTCTGTGCTGACACTGAAGCCCTGCAGCCTGGCACTCGGTTACAGTGACCCCACACCTTTTTTCTCCATCACTGATAGTTTAGTAAGAGTGGGGTTGGTTCTCTAACTTGGGTTAGAGAAGAGCCATGTGTGGTGTTCACTGGAGGTGGTGAGGACAGTTTCCCAGGTAACAGGTCACTTGAGATTGTTTTGTTTCATTGGTCTTTTACTTTGTATCTAAAACAGGTAAAACCTTATTGGCCAAAGCAGTGGCAAACCAAACCTCAGCCACTTTCCTGAGAGTGGTTGGCTCTGAGCTTATTCAGAAGTACCTAGGAGATGGGCCCAAGCTCGTCCGGGAATTGTTCCGCGTTGCTGAAGAACACGCACCATCCATTGTGTTTATTGATGAAATTGATGCTATTGGGACAAAAAGGTAGACTTTCTTGTACCGACTTTGTGTTTAGAGGCAAAAATCATAGTGCAGTCACTGGGCTTGCCTGTGTGGCCACAGGCTGAGCCAGCCTCCTTGGATGCTCTAGGCGCCACTCTCCAAGGAGCCGGACAACAACTATGCAGGAGCTGTGGCTGGCTGGAGACTGGCCCACATGCAGTCAGGTTGGGGGGTCAGACAGCAAACATGGAGACAGAATAAATGACACAATTTCAGTGCAGAAACTGCTGGGAAGAGGTGTGGTTCTAACTTGGTTCCTTGCAGCCCTGGGCCATCTGCGCCACTTGAAGAAAATACCACAGACTGGGTAATTTCTTCAAGAACAGAAACTTCTCACGATTCTGGGGGAAGGAAGTCCCAGGTCAGGCACTGGCTTCAGGGGCTGCAGGAGAGGGAACAGGCCCCATGTCCTCTCACAGCAGCGGAGTAAAGGAGCAGGCAGTCCCCAGCACACTTCTCGTAAGGTGCAAGCCCTTTCCCCACAGTGAGAGCCCCACAGCGAGGTCAAGGCCATAGACGTCCCCTGGAGGGAGGACGGCTGAGTAATACTTGGGCTGAGAACAGAGTGCTGAGGTATTGTCACAGCGAGGTCTTTGCTGTACTTACCCTCTAGCAGGTCAACTGGGTCTTCATTCTTCCTCTTATTTTCCAAAGATATGACTCAAATTCTGGCGGCGAGCGAGAAATTCAGAGAACAATGCTGGAACTGTTGAACCAGCTGGATGGATTTGATTCCAGAGGAGACGTCAAAGTTATTATGGCCACAAACCGAATAGAAACTTTGGATCCAGCACTTATCAGACCAGGTGAAATTTGGTTTTGTCTCATGTGTGCTAAGTGTGCTTTGTAAAATGAGCATTGAGCCAATACTGTAATTTACCAAAAACAGGTCCACCTGAGGTCTGTGCGATGTGGGCCTTTGAATTCCAGCCTTACATTTTCATCTTTTCTTTCCCATAATACTCCCTCATTCAGGTTCAGGAATTGCTGCTTTTCCCTGAAAAAATAAATTATGATAGCTTTACACTCCAGTGGCACTAGAAAAAGTTGGTCTGCTATCTTTTTGTAACGTTTTTAACAAAACTGCCTTTTTCCTGAAATGTGTCATTCAGGAAGTGCTAATAACTTCTCCAGTGTAACTACACAATCAGTGTTCACTTTCCAAGGTGTGGCCACTGCACGTGGTGGGCGGGGCCTGGCCCAAATGTGACCGCATTTTTGTTCCTGCAGGCCGCATTGACAGGAAGATCGAGTTCCCGCTGCCTGATGAAAAGACCAAGAAGCGCATCTTCCAGATTCACACAAGCAGGATGACGCTGGCCGACGACGTAACTCTGGACGACTTGATCATGGCTAAGGACGACCTCTCGGGTGCTGACATCAAGGTGAGGGCCCAGAGACTGTAGGTATTCAGGGCGGGGGAGGAGTCACACAGGTTTGCCGTTACATCTGGACAGTAGATGGCTTTCTGTGGGAGGCCATTTAATGCAAGTGAGTGGCTCTCAACCCTCTATGGCCACAAGAGGAGTCATTGGCACTGAGCTTGCGGCCTCCTCCACTCGGCCTGAGGGACTCTGGGGTCCAGCTGCCCAGTCCCAGGTCAGAGAAAGAGGGTCTGCTCGGAGAGCACACCATGTAGCTGCCGTGGGTTTGTCAGGCCTTCAGGATGGCACATGCAGTGCATTTCCAGGCTGTCTGTCACCTGCACTGCGCCCACAGTGTGCTGGCCTGGGTCCTAGAAAGCTGAATCCGTGTCTTAGTTGGTGAGTAAAATCTCAAAATCTTCCCAAGTTCCAACAGTAGTGCAGTGAACACTCACAAGCCACGCCCATCTCCCCCCATTTGCTTGCTCTCTCTTTCCTGAACCATTTGAAGTACAAAACCGGATTCCAGGATCAGACACACTTCAGTGCCAGCGCTGCACTCTTATCTGCATTGCAGTGCTTCTTGTTTTACTTTTACAGGTAATTGAGAAACATACCACTGGAAATATATGTAGGTTCTTAAGAGTTAAATGAAATGGACATGCAAGGAAGTTCCAAAAGTTGGTAGAAAATGGAACTGTTTATTCTGTGCACAAAAATTTTCAAATGCAGTTTTTTTTTTGTTTTTTGTTTTTTGACAGGCAGAGTGGACAGTGAGAGACAGACAGAAAGGTCTTCCTTTAGTCGTTGGTTCGCCCTCCAATGGCCGCCACGGCTGGCGCACCGCGCTGATCCGATGGCAGGAGCCAGGTACTTCTCCTGGTCTCCCATGGGGTGCAGGGCCCAAGCACTTGAGCCATCCTCCACTGCACTCCCAGGCCACAGCAGAGAGCTGGCCTGGAAGAGAGGCAACTGGGACAGAATCCGGTGCCCCAACTGGAGGATTAGCCTAGTGAGCCGCGGCGCCGGCCCAAATGCAGTTTTTACATAATATGCATTTTCATGAACTTTTTGAAGACCCTTCACTTCAAACAATTTCCCATCAGCTACCATCAGTTGCCTTAAATTTCAGGCTGTCATTTTCTGTTTCCTAAGGATATCACTTCTGTTAAAAAGGTGGAGCTGTAAGAATCTATCAACCAGCAAGGTCACTGCAGCTTAAGCCAAAATGAGAACCCAGAGCTGGGATTCCTGAGCAGTCCATTTTCCTAGTTTAGAAACACCTTTTTAACGTGCAAGTTTGAACCATTCTGAGTTGCTTCACTTTCTGAACCCTGCAGGCAATCTGCACAGAAGCTGGTCTCATGGCCTTGAGAGAACGCAGAATGAAAGTAACAAATGAAGACTTCAAAAAATCGAAAGAGAATGTCCTTTATAAAAAACAAGAAGGCACCCCCGAGGGGCTCTACCTCTAGTGGACCACAGCTGCCTGGAGAACGTTCTGGCTGGCGTTTCCCTACCCTCCAGGGAGGTACGGAGGGGGAGCTGCCCAGAGGAGCCCACGGTCCAGCTGATTTTTACTAGCAAACAGCCTTTGTATCTGTGTGTGAGGGGGCCGTTGGTCTCTGCTCACTCTGCCTCCCAATAAAGTGTGCTCTTCCCACACAGTCCTGCCTCCGTGGCATCTCCATATCCACCACTGACCAGCAGCAAGGGGTGGGCAGAGCTGGGGAGGGTCAGCCTGGGGGAGCCTTGAAGTTATTTCCCAGCTCCCACACTGGTGGGTGTGTAGACAGTATTGCAAAAAAAAAAAAAGTGCCAACTACCATCTGGGCCTTCAGCAAGCAGAGGGCCCGGCCTTGCCATGGCCATGGCAATGAAGACAACAGTGCTGCCACCCAGACTGCAGAGGAGTGAGGACCTTGGTCTGGATTGGGCTCTGGCTTAAGGGAATGCTGGGGCTGGTTTGATCTATCCATGTCAGCAATAAGGCTGTTATGCTTTCTTAGTCATATATTCGCTGCAATTCCCTTCTTAATTTCCTTCAGAACGTTTCCTTTCTGTTTGTCACTGCTGTAATACTCCTGCTAAGCCTGAACTCAATTACGAGGCAAGATCAGGCGAAAGAAGCAGAAACATCCGACAGGTTCAGGACACTTGAGAAGTTTCCAGACTGCAGGAGACCGAGTGCAACCTGTGATCCCGAGCCAATCCTCTTCCTGCAGAGAACGTGACAGACAACCGGCACGGGCTGGGCCTGGTGGCGGCACTGTATCCCTGCCGACTTCCTGTCATCTGTATTGTGGTGATGTAGGAAACTATCACCAGCTTGCTCTCAAGTGATTCTGGAAACGGGCTCTCTGTAACATGCAACTGGCCATACGCGTACAGAGTCCCATCTGTGTATTCACAGGAAAAACTGCCATGTACTGAACATGCAGACTGTTTTTCCTTGTCATTATTCCTCAATTCAGTAGTAACTAGTTACACTACTGAACACAGTGTGCATGGTGTATCAAGAGGACTCAGAGTAGACACAAGAGGCTGTACCTCACCATCCTTTTCTCTAGGAAAGAGCCACCCCCATTGGGTCTGCGAGTGTCTGTGCGCTGGCCACCCTACACAGAAGGAGAGGACACTGGGAAGTCAATGCAAGAGGCCAGCCCTCCCCACAGCTTCTCATTACAGCCCCCAGCCCCCGTGCCTCTCGGAAGCAGAATCTACCTCCAGGCCGAGGTCTCAACTGCCTCAAGTCCTTGTACCTCATTCTGTCAAAAGGCACCAGAGAGCCCGCAACCCAGCGGCTTCAGCCCCCAGCGCCTTCCTGGGTGCCGAGACAGGGCCCCGAGCCTACATCCATCGGTTTCCAGCTGAACGTGTATCCACAACACTGGCTTTTCTGCAGGAGGTACCAAACAACTGGCAATTCTCCAGACGATTTTGTTTAAAAAGCCAGAGAGAACCTCTCACGTTAGGGCAGGAGCACAGGGAGACAGAGGAGCAGTTCCTCCCAGCCATGGAAAATGACAAGGCACTGAGAGAAAATACAGCTCTTCAGAAGCAGAGACTGGTCCCAGTGTGGGTGTTTACACAGCCAGTCTGGGCTGTGCATCAGAAGCACTGCAGATGTTCGTGGGGTACCCCGTAGCAGGTCCTGTCGGCCGCGAAGGCACTGGCCACAGACCGCACTGCTGCGGGACTGTGGCCACCAGCAGGCTTCCCGCAGAGCGACAGGGACTGCCCGGGCCTGCCTCCCACACCACTGTGCACACAAGTCACTGGACACACCTGTCAGGGCGGATCCTGATTGAGCACAGCTGGGACGGGCAGACAGCGTGCACTGCTCCTCCCGGCGGCACTGCTGGTCCCCAGAGGTCAGCGTCACCAAGTGCAGCTCAGGGATCAATGAGAACTGTTCCACGCACCTGCCACAGGCCAGGACCCTCCAGCGCGCTGTTCTGAAGACAGAGGCCACACCTGCTCCTCTACACGCAGCCTGGGGGAGAAGGGCCTCGGGCTGAGTGACTGGACCTGAAGTCCACGCACTTCAAGAGAGGGCTCGCGGGTCCACGCGTGCCAGCCGAGGGGCCAGGCTGGCTGGGCAGAGGACAAGCAGAAGGAACAGGCGTTCACACTCCTCGGCCAGGACAGGTTTAATGGTCACAGGCCTGGTTCTTCCACACATACATACGTACAGTCACATATATAATATGTAAACATAGGCTGTGCATTGCTTACACATCCCAAAACCTGAGGCCCTGCCACCCCAGGCACACAGGACTGAGGCTGGACCCCCGGCCCCGCCCCCCGTGGTCCTAACCCTCCAGCAGGAGCTCAAGCTCCTCCAGCGGCAGGCGCACGCGCAGCTCCTTCTCGGTCATGAGGTCCAGCACCTCCTGCATGGCATCGGGGAAGTACTCCACAGCGTCCAGGTACAAGGCCTACCGGAGACAGACATGCTGGTCAGCCAGCCTCGCCCGCCAGCGGGGAGGGGCCCGGGAAGGCAGCAGGCCCCAGGGGAGCCTGCCCTCCAGCCCCTCGGCAGCCCAGACTCCCCTTCACCCAGGCCTCTGGCCTCGGGCTGGGCACATTCGGGAAGGCCACCGTGACAGGCCTCCTCTTCCAACAGCAGACTCCCCGCGCGCTGCCCCGCCGGCCTGCACGGTGCCAAGGTGAGGAAGCAGCCACACGGCAGTGCCCCGGAAGCACCCGTGCAGGCAGGGAGGCCCTGGGGAGCTGACGGTGCCGGGTCGTCACTTACCTTTGCCCACGGGCACTTCTGAAGCGCTCTGTAGAACACACCTTTACTTCTGTCTGTGTTTCCTAGGGAGACCTGAGGGGAGGAGGGCACAACGTGAGCAGCACAAACAGAGAAGGGCGGGCGACACAGACAGAGACAAGTCACGCCCAGCACTGTGCCGACGCTGCGGGGGCGCTGCAGGGACCCTCCATGTCCTCTATTTCCTCCTCTCCTGCGAGCCACCTCGCTCCCAACCCCACAGCGAGGCTTCACCAAGTTCATGGAAAAGCGGAGTTAAAAGATACGGTGTTTCAGTGCGAAAAGATAGGAGCCCACGCCTACTGCTTTTCAAAATGAATGTGCACTTCTGTGAACTCTGAAGATCTGCTTGAACGACTGGCATTTTCTGAAACAATCTCAGAGAAAGGGGGTCACCAGGGCCATGAGCTAGTCCGATTTCCCACGGGAAGCCTCAGGCTGAGGGTGCACAGATGGCTCAGTTCAGCAGGTTCTCCCTCTAAACATGAAGCCCTTAGTGTCGACAGCCGGGACATCCCTCCCAGACTGACAGAGAAGGGGACACGATCGGGGCCTCCCGCAAACCCCTCCAGGGAGCTCCACGCGGGCTGCGTGCAGCTGCGTTCCATCTCTGTGCCGTCTCGCCCACCTGCCCACCACACCTGCCATGCCCTTGGCACAGAGTTCCGCGGCCACAGGCTCTTCTCAGACACGCGGCCCGGGCCACAGAAGGCAAAGGCACCAGTCTACTGCCACGGGACTCCTCCACCTGCCAAGGACGGCCTCACTCCCTTTCAGTTTTCCCAGGTTTACTCACACAGCCACAGGAACCATCACGGGCTGTCACCAACACCTGTGACAACCTTGCTTCAAGCAAAGCACAGTCTTCCCCGGCCACTTGACTGCCCCCTCGACAGACCGGCCACGTGGTGGGCTCTCCCTGTGGCCCCAGTGCGGGCCTCCGGCTCTGAGCAGAGCGCTGGGGGTTACAACCAGGAAGTCAGGGGGCGGCACCATGGCTCACTTGGTTAATCCTCCGCCTGCGGCGCCAGCATCCCATATAGGCGCCGGGTTCTAGTCCCGGCTGCTCCTCTTCCAGTCCAGCTCTCTGCTGTGGCCCAGGAAGGCAGTGGAGGATGGCCCAAGTGCCTGGGCCCTGCACCCGCATGGGAGACCAGAAGCACCTGGCTCCTGGCTTCGGAACGGCACAGTGCTGGCCATAACGGCCATTTGGGGAGTGAACCAACAGAAGGAAGACCTTTCTCTCTGTCTCTCTCTGTGTCTATAACTCTACCTGTCAAGTAAATAAAATGAAAAACAAAACAAAACAAAAACCCACAAACAGGAAGCCAGTGTGGCTGCCTTCCCTTCCCACACCAACACCCTTCAGTGTCCTCTCCTAAAACACTCGCCCCACCCCCAAAGTCTCACTTTCCTTTTGGAAAGGAGGAAAAACTGCCACTGTGCCTTCTCCACCCGCACAGCTAATCCTGGACCCAACACAGCAGGTACACAGCTGCCCACACTCCTGCCATCAGCCACCAGACAACTTCACAATCAGGTGTGGGGGCTCAACCCCAGGCGGCAGCTCATTTTCCCACGCCTGATTCTGTGCTCTGAGCGTGGCCTTGCAGAGAGCTCGGCCCTCTGACTACAGCAGAGCCCGGCAGGAGAGGAGTCACTGGCTCTCCACCTGGCTCTCCTGCTCCCTCTTCCTCGTCTTCCAAACGTCCTCATCTTGACGACCCAGACTTCTGCTAACACTCCTGTCGCGGCTCCTCCTCTTCTGGAGTCTCCGTGGTACTCCCTGTCCCCCAGTTCCACTTCCAGTAAACGACTGACCTCGGCCAAGGCGGGGGCATCTCAGGGCTCTGCCCAAGTCTGCACTCAACCCATGAGGGAGCAGAGCTGGCCTCGGAGGGCACCCAGGACCAGGCCAAGGATGCTCTCGGTGAGGGCAGGAACTGTGATAGCCCAGCGGCCCAGGAACCAAGTCCCACATGCGGCATTTCAAGAGTTCAGCCAACGAGCCGCTCAGGTACGCACGCTCTGAGTCACCTGAGTCTCACTAGCAATTCTCTCCTACAGGAGCGGGGGCAGGGGTGGGGGGCAGCGGCAGATTCTGATCCGGCTGGGGCCCCAACAGCCCAGCAAGTGTGCAAGCCCCGTCTAGACACGCATGTGACAAATCCCATCCAGACACGCGTGCGAGCCCCCGAGCAAACGAGCTGCCTGTGCAGTGCCCCTAACTGGCCGGCGTTCCTGTGCCGTACTGTCTGACGTGCGGGAAGCAACCACTCTGGGAAAATAAGGGAGACGATGGAGTTTTCAGGCTTTCGCAAAATCTGATTTTTTTAAACCAATCTGAGCACTCTTAGCTGATACCAATTTAAATGATTTGACACAACTGATATGCAACCCTAACCAAAGAAAAATAAACCCGCCTCTCTAACACTTCATGGGGGTGTTCCTGAGGCTGGCCTTTTGCTGGGGTGGCCCCAGGGCAGGGAGCTGACCAAGGGTCTTCCCCTTCCCACCCACTTTGGTAAAGTGACCCTAACTCTGCCACCTGTCAACAGGAAGGAAATTCACAACTTTAAAATGCCACTGTTCCCTTTCACCAGCCCCATGAAGTCAGCTGACTTCTCTATTAAAATTCCCTTCCCTATGATGTAGGTGGATGACCAAATTAAAGAACTTAAGTATTCTGGTAATAACTGCAATTCTGGTCAAAACAAGCTGTTTTGCCAAAAGTGTTAAGGTCCACACACAACAGTGTCTCTCCTAAAACAGGTTTAACCTGCAAAGTGCCAGCCTCAGTGGAAATGTTAGCACTCTCTGTCCAACTCCTTCCTCCCTTCCCTGTACTCCCTACAGCCAAGAGTCATTGGTGCAGGGGAAAGGCAAGCAAGCAAAGCAAGTGTGCCCGACGCATGTGTGTGTGACCACAAAAGGCATGAACACACCAGCTAGCCAACGACCCTCCTCCAGGGACCTGAGTGCTCACGACACCCCCAGCTCTTCCCCTGCCTCCGCCTGGCACGTGGGCCCCAATTTTATGTTTTCACTGTGTTCAACAAGGCATTCAGAGCCCACACAGATGCCTCAGGATGGCTCGTGAGTCACTGCTCTGATTAATCTGAGTTCCGACACCACATTACAGAAATTCCTCAACCCAGATGTTTTTCCAAGTCAACAGGCTTTGTTGTCTATAAGCCAACCAAACACGGTTCACGGAAGCTTCTGAGTAAAAACACTGAGCACATCTGTACCTTACCCTTAGTCTAACCGGGGAGGCCAGCAGATGTCAAGCTTGACCTTAACACATGCAAAGGCCTTTCCTCTGTGTAGAAAGACTGGCAGGGACTGGTGCTGTGACGTAGTAGGCTAAGCCTCTGCCTGTGTTGCTGGCATCCCACATGCGTGCTGGTTCAAGTCCTGGCTGCCCCTCTTCCCATCCAGCTCTCTGCTATGGCCTGGGAAAGCAGTGGAAGATGACCCAAGTGCTTGGGCCCCTGAATCCGTGTGGGAGACACAGAAGAAGCTCCTGGCTTCAGATAGGCACAGCTCCGGCTGTCATCACCATTTGGGGAGTGAACCAGCAGATGGAAGACCTTTCTCTCTGTCTCTCCCTCTCTGTAACTCTACCTCTCAAATAAATAAATTAAACAAACAAAAAAAGACTGGCAGAATATTTGTGCTGTGCATACCAGAGAGGTTTCACTAAAACCCAGGTCTCCCGGCCCTGTGCCCCAAGCTGCCAACTCTGAAGAACAGGCCGTGGCGTCGGGGTGCCACAAGCACCGTACCACCTAGGAACTTCTGAGGGCCTCCATCTCACACCAGGAGCCAACAGAAATCCAAGCTCTGGTCTGAAGAATAAACGGTAGGGAGAGGCACATGTCTGTGGCAATTCATTTCTGATGCCGCGTCTGCCCCAGCACAGACTGTGTCTGTACGGATCAACAGCTGTGCCCAGGTAACATGTCCGCGGTGACCCAGGGCCTTCAGCACACTGCCCCATTAGAGTCCAAGGAAGCAACCAGATACATTCTGGGATCTAAGACAGGAGTCCAGAGGAGGCCCACACCTCTCCTAGCTCCTAAATGTTTCTTTCTGTTTTTTTTTTTTTTTTTTTAATATATAACCACAGAAAACAAATACTTATTAGATAAGACTTGAAAATCAACACTAATCAGTTTTATGTACTCCTTGAGTACAGACTGAAATGTTCTTCTTTTTTTAACTAAAGAACAGATACCTTGTCGCTCCCCGTCTTCGTGGAGGAACGACACAGGACCCTGCGCTGTTCTTTTGTCTGCTCGGCCCTCCCCGGGTTTGCTGCTGGTTCTTCCCGGGTTGGCTACCGTCCCTTCCACCTCCGTGGAAGGGCGGTTCCCCCTGCCACTTTCCCCACTTCCGCGGGGGAGTGGCACACCGCCGGCCGGCTCTCTCGGGGGCTGCACAGGTGTTCCCTCAGATGTTCCTCATGCATGTTGTCTCTCTCCTCCTTTATAGTCCTCTTCCACCAATCCCAACTCTGCTACCCACACGCCGACTACGCTGCTCTCCTCCAATCAGGAGCAGGTCCTACAGTTTATTGGTTGAACTGGAGGCAGCTGTGTAGAAGCTGTTTCCTCTTCTCCCAGCGCCATATTGTGGGAGAGCAGATGCATAGAATAAGTCTTAATTCCAGTAACTTAGTCTAGTCCGAGTTGCTCCCCACAATACCTAGCAGGTAATACCGTACAGCTTTAAAGTTTAGCTTTTAGAAAACACAAGAGCTAAACAAGTGATTAAAAAATATTATGTAACTAATCCAACTGTATTCTGTTACATTCCGTCAGGATGTTCTTGGGTTAAATAGAAGTATAGAAAGTTCTAAGTTCTGGCTGTCTTTCCTTTACTCCACCATCAAGGTCTTATCTACCACACATTCTGCAAGGGTCTCTCCATCTTTTTACACCCCAGCTTTGCCTTATCTCAAATGGAAATGCTCAAATACTCTGGGTTGTGAGAATTTATCCTACAGAAATAATCAAATACATAGACAAGACTTAGAAACAACAACAGCCATTCCTGGCTTCTGAGAAGTTTGACATTCACTGGAGGTCACCTAGATGTGACTCAGCTGCCTTACACAAGCGAGAGGCCCCAAAGACTGTTTCTAGAATTCTGGCCCAGCACTGTGGTGGGCTAAGCTGAACCTGCAACACGGGCATCCCACATGAGTGCCATTTCAGGTCCCAGCTATTCCACTTCCCATCCAGCTCCCTGCTAATGTGCCTGGGAAAAGCAGTGGAAAATGACTCAAGTGACTGGGCCCCTGCCACCTGTGTGGGAGACCAGATGGAATTCCAGTCTCCAGCTGTCGCAAACATTTCACAGTGAACTAATGGAGAGAGGCTGTCTCTTCCTCCTCACCTTGTGAATAAATGAATAAATCTTACTAAAATTTTTAAAAACAGAATACCACCACCCACTTGGCAACAGATGTTATCACAGTAAATGAGGCCCAACCCACTCGCAAGTCTCTAATGCAAGGCCAAGACAACTCAGGCTTCACAAAACTCATCTGCACACTCAGATTAAATGTTGGCTCCCTGATCCCATCACCAAGGAACTTCTAAGTGCAGATGCTGCTTTGGAAACGCCCACTTTTAAAACCACATTCTAGACTGAATCCTATTTTTTAATAAGGACCTGGAACTTCTTATGAGCAGAATGGCAAAGACTTTTGTCTCTTTCAAATGAAAGCTCTTAGACCATTTTCCAAGACGCTAACTCAATGAAGTCAACCCAGATAACCCACGTTAAGTTCTATTCTTTCTAGCAAGTATCTGGAGTAAATATGCAGCTCACGACCCTCTCAAGACCTAGGAGACCTGACTTTAGTCCATCAGAGTCCCCGTAAGGGCGAGCCAGCACCAGTAAGTGTGAGAGTCAAAATGAGTCCCTCCCAACATCCCATGCGTGCCTGCTGAGTACGTGCATCTTCTCACAGATGAAGAGTTCAGCACAGAAACACAGTCGTGGGGCTGCCACCTGCAACGCCAGCATCCCACATGGGCACTGGTTCAAGTCCCGGCTGCTCCAGCTTCCAATCCAGCTCCCTGCTAGTGTGCCTGGGATGACAATGGAAGATGGTCTAAGTGCATGGGCCCCAGCACCCATGTGGGAGACTGGGAGGAAACTCCTGGCTCCTTGCTTCTGTGTGGTCCAGCCCTGGCCATTGTGGCCATTTGGGGAGTGAATGAGCAGATGGGAGGTTCTTTCCCTCTTTCCCCACAACTCTACCTTTCAAATAAATCTTTTTTTTTTTGACAGGCAGAGTGGACAGAGAGAAAGATCTTCCTTTGCCGTTGGTTCACCCTCCAATGGCCGCTGCGGCTGGCATGCTGCGGCCGGCGCACTGCGCTGATCCGAAGCCAGGAGCCAGGTACTTATCCTGGTCTCCCATGGGGTGCAGGGCCCAAGTACTTGGGCCATCCTCCACTGCACTCCCGGGCCACAGCAGAGCTGGCCTGGAAGAGGGGCAACAGGGACAGAATCTGGCGCCCCGACTGGGACTAGACCTGGTGTGCCGGCGACGCAAGGTGGAGGATTAGCCTAGTGAGCCGCAGCGCCGGCCCTCAAATAAATCTTAAAAAAAAAAAAATCACAAAATCTAAATATTTTCTTACCAAAAAGTTCAAATACATCCTCCACAGTAGGGGGCACTGGCTGCCATCTTCACGCCGCAGCGCATTCTCGAACAGGGCCGTGATCCGGTGCGTCAGGCCAGTCTCGGGAATCGTGCAGTGGACCTCTCCACCACCTACCCTGCAAGGCAAAGGCTCGTGTCACCGGAGACGGCCTGCCCCCGCACCACAGCAGCCAGGGCCGCTTTAGTGATGGCGGGCACCAGCACCAGCACCAGCACCAGCACCAGCACGAGCAGACAGTGCGAGGCCGTGTCCGTCCCAGCGCTGGTGGGAAGCTAGTGCGCAGGGCGGGCGTGACGTGCCCTCGCCGCGGCCAGAGGAAGGCAGCACCCAGCGCTCTGCGGCTGCTACACCACGCTGCATCCATCTAGAGATCACACACAAACTCCGCACGTTCCTGTTGTCTAAAGAGATCACACACAAACTCCGCACGTTCCTGCTGTCTAAGGAAGCCTTCCCTTTAGTCCACAGAACACAAATTCTGCTTCACAGGGAGGAAAGGACGAAGGGTCACACAGAGTGACTCAAATCCCAGAGGAGGAGAGCGAGCAGGCACATCAGGTGGAATACCACTGGCAAGGCGATTCTGCCTCATTTATAAGGCCGGGGGTAGCAGCAGAAAGATTCTGGGAACAATGATGATGCCCAAGCTAGCTGCTTCTCAAGACTGTCATTAACGATCAGGTTAAGAAAAAAAAACTATACCAAAAGGTGGCAATTAAAACATGACACCTGGGGAGGGCACTGTGGCACACGGCAGAGGAGGCTGCCACTTCAGATGCGCGCATCCCCTATCAGAGAGCCTACTGGGAGGCCAGGCACCTCCACTTCTGACCCAGCCTCCTGCTAAGGGGTCCTGGAACACAGGGGCAGACGGCCCAAGTGCTGGGGCCCCTGTTGCTCAGGTTCTGGGCTCCTAGCTTCAGCCTGGCCCCGTCCTGACTACTGCCAGACATGTGGGGAGTGACCAGCGTAGGGAAGTCGATCTATCTTTCTCTCTCGGTGCCTTCCAAGTAGATGAAAATAAAGACATTAAGCCACGATGTTGTTGCCAGCAGCAACACTGACTGAAGCTAGCCTGGGATATGCAGTCTCTCTGTGCCAAGCACTTTCCCCATGACCTTTCAGAGTGCCCAAGGCGGCAGGTTCCTTATTCCCATTGGACAGAAGAGAATCTTTCAGAGGTGAGGGCTTGCCCACGGTCCCCCAGCCAGCAGGTGGCACGGCTGGCACTGGCCTCCAGAGCCCCTGCTCTCAGCTGGTGTGCTTTCACTGCAGCCCCTTGGGTCACACACACACACACACACCAGAAGCAACCCCCAGGATTCCCGAGAGCATGGCCGAAGCAGACAGCCCGAGGCACCTAATGAGAGGGTGCTACCTTGTACCCATCTGCTTCATCTCTCATGATGGCACTGCACAGCACCTGGAGCAGCCCAGCCAAGGCTCCAGCCCTGTGCAGCCTGGAGCTCCCTGTTCCTGAGGCCGTGCAAGTGCTCAGGGACCCCCAGGTCTGTGGGACTCTGGAATCACCTCTGGACCGTCTCCACCAGCCTTCGCCTCATCTTCTCAGCTTCAATTGCAAACAGCCAAGGCTCCAAGGGTTTGGCAGACCTGGTGATTGCAGCGAAGAATCTTCTAGTCTTGCTGGCACTGTGGGACTTATTTTGCACCTGCACGTATAACCTCCAAAGGACCTGGTTGCCAGGATACAGCTGTAAAGCCTCTGAGAGCGCCTCTCGCAGAGGAGCCAGAGGGTAAACGCTGACTCTCATGTGGAACTGCAGCAGAGTCGTGTGCATCAGGGTGACCGCTTCGAGGACTCTGCTCAGACTCGGGGAGCCCGCTCTGTCCTCCAGGCCAGAGCCTTCCGGGAAAACACACTCCTTCAGTCTGGCAAACACCTGCTCATACACCCGCACGGCAGCGTCAATCCCTACAGTCAAATACTGGAAGAGCATAAAGCATCTGACCAAGCTGATCAGGCAGCTAACGGAAGGGACAGGCGCTGGAGTGGGGCCACAGCTCTCACTCAGGCTGTCCTGCAGCGCGTGCTCGTAAGCCTTCCGGGCCTTCAGAATGTGCACAGCCAACACCTGCCCCGTGTAGGGCGCGTAGGGACTGCTCTCGGTCAGTCGGGTTAATACGTGGACAGCTCGGGCCGTGGCGGACCCCGTGGAGTCTGGCGACAGCTCTGTCTCCACCTCCAGTTGGGCATAGAGCAGACTAAGCTCACAGAGTTCATGGTCCTTCAGGTCTCTGCTTCCCACCAGGCTGAGCGCCGTATCGAAAACTTTCCTGGAGTCCTCGGTGTTGCCAAGCAACCACTCCAGATGCGCATACTGCTTCCAGAGGCAAAAGTTGTTGCGGTTTTCTGGCTCCTTAAGGAGATTCTTTGCTAGTTTTTTGCAGTTTTTCCCCTGTGATTTTAATCTCTTCTTATTTTTAGTGTGAAGACACCAAATGACCTATTGGAAAAAAGAAAGAAAGGATAACTCCAGGGGCTGTGTAGCTCTAAAGCTGCCAGCTAGAAAGCACTGAGGACAGAAAGGCAACTGCACTTCCTCATCACACATCTGCTGAACACCAGCGCTCTGAGAAGGATCAGGGCCCTAGAGCAATACACCCGGATTTCTACCTGGAATCTCCCTAAATGATGTTCTTCTCCAACCAGACTTTATAAAAGACACTATTCTGGGGCTGGCACCATGGTTCACTTGGCTAATCCTCCGCCTGTGGCGCCGGAATCCCATATGGGCCTCAGGTTCTAGTCCCGGTTGCTCCTCTTCCAGTCCAGCTCTCTGCTGTGGCCCGGGAAGGCAGTGGAGGATGGCCCGAGTGCTTGGGCGCCTATACCCGCGTGGGAGACCAGGAAGAAGCGCTTGGCTCCTGGCTTCGGATTGGCCTAGCTCCGGCCGTAGTGGCCATCTGGGGGCTGAACCAACGGAAGGAAGACCTTTCTCTCTGTCTCTCCCTCTCACTGTCTATAACTCTGTCAAATACATAAATAAAAAATCTTAAAAAAAAAAAAGTCACTATTCTGATTCAACCCGGTGTGTGTAAGCTACAGTCAAGGCTTGGGAACATTGGGCGTTAAGAGTCAATACTCGCCGTGGCTCAATAGGCTAATCCTCCACCTTGCGGCGCCGGCACACCGGGTTCTAGTCCCGGTTGGGGCGCCGGATTCTGTCCCGGTTGCCCCTCTTCCAGGCCAGCTCTCTGCTATGGCCCGGGAGTGCAGTGGAGGATGGCCCAGGTGCTTGGGCCCTGCACCCCATGGGAGACCAGGAAAAGCACCTGGATCCTGGCTCCTGCCATCGGATCAGCGCGGTGCGCCGGCTGCAGCGGCGGCCATTGGAGGGTGAACCAACGGCAAAGGAAGACCTTTCTCTCTGTCTCTCTCTCTCACTGTCCACGCTCCCCGTCTTCGTGGAGGAACAAAAAAAAAAACAAAAAACAAAACAACAAAAAAAAAAAAGAGTCAATACTGATGGCGACCAGCAGAGGGCAGAACAGCCGATGCAGACTAACTTCCATCAGAAAGACACAGTAAGGGAAAGTAAGTAGCTTATTTTATCTATGTTAATAAGCCCCTAAACCCTCTAACCCTGCTTTAGCTTAAGCTGCTTCTTAACACTAACTGCTCATATAATCACAGGCATCTGCTAATACCAGACTCAACACAACAGGCGGCCCCAGAGTCACGGGGAGCAAGGCAGGCTCCACTTTCCTCCCCGAGTCCCCTCCGAGGAGGACCACAAACTCCCACCCCCCACCCTGGAGTCATCGGAGGAAGAACTCCCAGACCTCTTCCCCTCCTCCAGAAACACCGCCGTGACACCGCGAGGCCCCGGCACGGGCAGGCGCTGCAGTTACCTTGGCAATCTCGTACTGCAGCCAGGAGAAGCAGAGCTGAGACTTTTCCTTGCCTGAAAACAAAGGCATCACAAGGTGGAAGATGTTGCGGATGAAGTCCTCGCCCTCCCGACCGTGACCCCTGGTCCACCGCCGACAGCCCAGCGGGTCCATCCGGCCAACGCTGCTGACACCAGAAAACAAAGGGCTGAGGGACGTCAAGGGCTTTTCATCATAAAGTCCATTATCAAAGATGCTATTCTCGTCCATAGCCAGGTAAAGGCAGGAGGCGGGAGGTGTGAAGCCAGAAGGCACGCCCAGGACCTGCAGAAAGGCCTCGACGAGTCGGAACTGAAGATCGGGTCTGCAGAGTCTGATGAGAGACTGTCCAACGTCATCAAACAGCACCTGCAACAGAGACGGAACCAGTGGTCCATTTAATGAAACAAAGCTTCCAACTGTTATATGGATGTAGGAATAATTCAACATCATTACATTTTAAGTAGGCAGGCACTAAGTTTTCTGCAAAATTCGAGAAAGCAACGTGGACAGCTGGAGATTAACTCCCAGCTGCCCTGCTGTGCCATTATCGTTTTCACACATCCAGGCAGCACTGGGACAGAGGCAAGGCACCAGCAGGCTCAAGCCCAAAGCCTTCAAAGTCTCCTGCTGGATTTGTAGAAAATCTAGACTCAGGTTCACTTCCAAAAGCATACGCAATTCTTTCATAGTTGCTTTGATAAATTATAACTGTGAAAATCTTTTTAGAAGGGAAGATAAGAACGTAACAATCTACAGCTTCTTTGTATAAAACTGCTTCAGGATATGAAAAACAGGCTCCAAACAGATGAACAGGAGTAAGGTAAGAAACTACTACAGGAGCAGTGGACCAGGATAAGAACAATTAGTAGAGCACAAGAAGAACTCTAAGTGTTCACAGCTGGTTTCATATAATAATGACAAGCAGACTACCGTCTGACTCAAGCCACTGCTTAACTGATTGGTCTCTGTGGCTCTCAGCAAAAAGGAAATCAAAACATAAGCACAATAAATGAGACTGTCTGGGCTGGACTCACCAAACCATCAATTCATCACAAGGTTCTTCTCCCTTGGGCTTTGCCTGGACAAAGAGCTGAATGACCAGAACTTGCCTCACAGCAGTCTGCTCCCAAGCCCAGCTGACAACAGGCTGCCATGAGAACCAACCCACTGAAGGACAGCCAGGAACTCATAAAATCCCAAAACCAAAAGGAGATCCTGCTCTCTACACCTGCAGCTTCAGCCAGGAGAGGGGCTTCCCATGCAGACGTCTCCCACAACACTCATTGCACGGGGCCTCCCTGAGGTCACCCCTCCCCTTCCTCTGCCCAGAGAGCCCCTCTTCCTCTGCCCCCCTTCTCTGTGTGCTGCACGCAGCCTGGCTACCCCATTCCCACTCCTCACACGGGCCAGCACCCTGGGGCCTTCAGCCTTGCCCTCGTACCAAATAAAGATTCCTTCAACATGCAAGAATGTTACTGGGACAAGCACTGCTCCAGGCTTGGTGATACACGGCAGCAAACCAAGTTCCCTGCCTGCAGAGCATGGCTGCCATGATTCCTGTGTCGTACGTGAAGGGCATCACATGTACAGCACGTCATATGCCAAGTAACAGTCAGAATCTAGTGAAACTGTGTCAATTCAAGGTACGAAAACAGCACTTCTTCCTTCATTTTAATGCAAAACCTCTAGAGCTGCTGGCCACTAAACACAAAGCAGCATGTACATGTACCAAATCTTACAGTGACCGTGAGCAAGACCACGCAGGCCAAGTGCCTGCACCCAACACCAGTTATCTCTCTGCATGACAGGCTGTGCCTGACTGTCCCAAAACGGACTCTGCATTCTGTCGCTCATCTTCGAGTCAAATCTAGCAGCTGTCTTTACAGATCCAAAAATGGGCTAGGGAAAGGAGACACAGGTAGAGATCTAGGATAATGATCATGTTTTTAGAACCTGAGCCCATGGGTTTCCAGATGAAAAATTAACAACCTGCCAGGTGATCTGCCGCGGGGTGACCACGAGAGCCTGCCCTCCTGCTGGGGCAGCGACTGCTCAGGTGCCTGCACACTCTGTCAGCAGCCAGCCACACTCTGTGCTGACACAGGGCAGCACCAAGTTTCCCCAGACACCGGCAGGAGCAGGCCAGCCTCTCCTAAGCCTGCCACGTGCTCGGAGAGCCCCAGCCACCTGCGTCCCGACAGCCAGACACAACGGGAGTGGGAGGACAGCAAAGAGCTCCAGGGTGGAGCGTACGTGCCTGTCTCTCAGGATCCTCACAGTCGTCCTCTGTCTGCTTCTTGCTCTTATCAGGGCGCCAGGGCCGCCAATGCCTGTGGTCTCGGGAACGCTCAGCAGCAAGCCAGATTCGCCACCTGGGCAGAGTCTTATCCTTTATCTCCTGGTCGTCCTCTTCCGGCTCATCATCATCCTCATCTAGACAAGAAGGAAACTTCTAGTTCACCTGAGTGGCCAAATACCCACCATCGCTACCCAATCTGCCTGCTAGGCCAGCCTCCGCACGTGCACCCAGGGGGCCGAGGAGAGTCCGAGCCATGCCAGCCCTTCCAGGGCACTAGACGGATTCAAGGTCTCTCTCACCATCAGTCGGGGTCCCATGAGAACCAGGCAGGTAAGGAGATGGAATCCAGCGATTTTTAATGCTATCACAGGAATTATGATGGGAACAAAATATTCTAGAACAGCACCATCCAACAGAACTTTCTACAATGATGACATGCTCCACACCTACACTAAGACAGTAGCCAGCAGCCACAGCAGACTTACTGGGCACTTGAAATGTAGCTAGTCAAGGAGCTGAATTTTTTTTTAAAGATTTATTTTATTTATTTGAAAGACAGAGTTACAGAGAGAGGCAGAGAGAGAGAGGTCTTTCATATACTGGTTCACTCCCCAGATGGCCACATGGCCAGAGCTAAGCTAATCCAAAGCCAGGAACCAGGAACTTCCTCCAAGTCTCCCACGTGGGTGCAGGGGCCCAAGCACTTGGGCCATCCTCTACTGCTTTCCCAGATGCACCAAAAGGCGAGCTGGATCAGATGTGGAGCAGCGGGGACTCGAACCGGTGCCATTATGGGATGTGGGCACTGCAGACCAGGGCTTTAACCTCTGTGCCATAGTGCCGGCCCCAAGGAGCTGAATTCTTTAAAATTTTATTTTAAATAACCACATGTAGTTAGAAGTACTGTATTTTTGGGGGGGGGGGGGGACAGGCAGAGTGGACAGTGAGAGAGAGACAGACAGACAGACAGAGAGAAAGGTCTTCCTTTACTGTTGGTTCACCCCCCAATGGCCGCTGCAGCTGGTGTACTGTGCTGATCCAAAGCCAGGAGCCAGCCAGGTGCTTCCTCCTGGTCTCCCATGCGGGTGCAGGGCCCAAGCATTTGGGCCATCCTCCACTGCACTCCCGGGCCACAGCAGAGAGCTGGACTGGAAGAGGAGCAACCAGGACAGAATCCGGTGCCCCAACCAGGACTAGAACCTGGGGTGCTGGCACCACAGGCAGAGGATTAGCCTATTGAGCCGCGGCGCCAGCCAGAAGTACTGTATTATTTAGAAAGCTAAATGATATTTCAATGATATTTCAATGGCCTTATAGTTAATTAGGACCTAGGCTCACTTGAAATTGCTTTTTAAAAAAGTCTCTCCTCTATAACTGCCTTTCAAATAAAATTAATCTTTAAAAAAATAAAATTAAAATTAAAAATAAGAAGCTGGCATTATGGCACAGCAGGTTAAGCTGTTAGAATTGGCTGCTCCACTTCCAATTCAGCTTCATGCTAATGTGCCTAGGAAAGCAGCAGAAGATGGCCTGAGTGCCTGAACCCTTGCCAGTCATGTGGGATCTGTGGAGTTCCAAGTTCCTGACTTGGGCCTGGCCCAGACCTGGCCTTTGTGGGCCTTCGGGGAGTAAGCCAGTGGATGGAAGCTTGCTGTCTCTCCCTCTAACTCAACCTTTCAAATAAATAAATCTTTAAGGAAAAAAAGAAGTCAACTGACAATATACTCTGTGCAGAATAGAAGAGAAAAACTGAGTCATCTGTGAAGTATAATATTAAGAAACCAACCAGTGAGGTATGTAACATGGTACAGCCACACAGGAAACATTTTGGCAGTCTCACTTAAAACTAAACACACACTTATCCTAACTGCACTCTTGGGCACAGCCCCAAGCAAAAACCTATACACTAATGCTCGTAACAACTTTGTTCATCACTGCCAGCAGCTTTACTTGTACAGCCCAAAACTGGAAACAGCTCAAATGTTCTACAGTAGGTAGACAACCATACAAGCATACATCTATACCATGAAATACTACTCAGCAATAAAAATGTCCACCCACTGATACACTAACAACTTGCATGTCTCTAAGGAGAATTATGCTAAGTAAGACACTCAGACAGTCACAGAGGGCAGGTTATCTGGCACAGCAGTTAAGACCCTTCTTGGAATACCCACATCCCACACAGGAGTCTGAATTCCAGCTCTACTCCCGATCCCAGCTTCCTGCTAATGCATCCCCTGGGAAGTAGGTGCTGGTTCAAGCAGCTGAGTCCTAGCCACCCACATGGGACACCTGGGCTGAGTTCCCAGGTCCCTAGCATCTGGGGAGTAAACCAACAAACGTGAAGTCCTGTCTCTCTCTGCCTCTCAAGAACCAAATAATGTTTAAATAATTACTTAAAAAATTACATAGAAAACAAGTGTTGCCAAGATATGGGAGATATGGGAACCTTGTGCATTAATGGTGGGCTGTGATGGAAAATGGCAGTTCCTCAAAAAAATTCATTAAACGTAGAGGGACAGGCATTGTGGCGCAGTGGGTTAAGCCATCACTTTGATGCCAGCACCTCGTATCAGAGTGCATTTCAAGTCTCAGCTGCAACACTTCCAAATGAGCTCACTGCCGATGCACCTGGGAAAGCAGCAGAGGATGGCCCAAGTACTTGGGCCCCTGTGGCCCACATGGGAGACCTGGACTGTGCTCCTGGCTCCTGGCCACAGCCCAACGACTGAGGGCATTTCGAAAGTGAACGAGCAAATAAGAGCTATCTAACAAACAATGTCCAAATAAAGTATATAAAATTGACACTTTCTTACAACCAGAACTGGCTTTTTCAAAAAGTTACATACTGCATGAGTCCACTTGTTCTTTTACGAAATAATGTAATCATAGATTAGCAGGGTGGAAGCTGTTTAAAAAGGAAAGCTCCACGCGTGAGCCAACTGCTCAGGACTACACACGCATCCCCGCAGTGAGTGCATGAGAAACTGGGCACAGGCGACTAACCTCTGCAGACTGCTCCAAGGTCAGCTCCCTGGCTGTGAAGTCACACCACAGGTGGCACTGGGTGACCTGCACGCAGGGCACACATCACCTCTCCAGTGTTTTTAACCTCTTATGATTCAGAAACATTACAAAATAAACAAAAACTCCACATAATTTAAATGCATAATGCATAAGCTAACATTTCAGACCCAATATGGTATTAGACATGCAAATATACATAACAGGGATCAGAGAGAAAGTTCAAGCACTGGCTGCTCCACTTCTGATCCAGCTCTCTGCTAATCTGCCTGGAAAGGCACAGGAAAACGGTCCAAGTACTTGGGCCCCTGCGACATGGGCGACCAGGATGGAGTTCCTGGCTTTGGCCAAAAGCCTGGCCCAGTTCTCACTGTTGTGGTCATTTGGGAACTAAACCAATGGATAGACGCTCTCTCCCTCTCTCTCCTTCCCCACTACCACCCTCTTTCCCACTCCCCACCACCACCATGGCTCCACCTTTCAAAAAATAAATAAATAAAGCATTTATTTTAACAGAAAGAACTCGTGGGCCAGCACTGTGGCATAGCAGGTGAAGCCACCACCTGCAGTGCCGGCATCTCACATGGGCACCGGTTCAAGTCCCGGCTACTCCACTTCCCATCCAGCTCTCTGCTATGGCCTGGGAAAGCAGTAGAAGATGGCCCAAGTCCTTGAGCCCCTGCACCCACATGGGAGATGTGGAAAATGCTCCTGGCTTCGGATCGGCACAGCTCTGGCCATTGCAGCCATCTGGGGAGTGAACCAGCAGATGGAAGACCCCCACCCCGCCTCTCTTTCTCTCTCTGTGTTAACTTTGACTTTCAAATAAATAAATCTTAAAAAAAGAGAAAGAACTTAAAAATAAAAGCAAAAATGGTTATCAACTGGCTTCCTGGAAATAAAATTTTCAACCTTTTGATCCTGCTAGTTTTCTAAAGGATTCTGTAACTAACTGAAAATAAATTCATTAAACTCAGTACAAGATTTCCCATAATGAAGATATCTGCAAAGATTTAGGGAATGCAAGCACCAACACATTCCTTAACCTGATACCAAAAATTAAGGTGCAGACAGCTGCACTAACTTTCAAAGAAAACTAACTTTCCATCTGATTCAGAGTGACAAGCGACATCTGACTCATATTAGAGAAGCAGTGTTAACTCAGCCTCGGGACACCAGGATGAAACCACAGCTTCTACCCAACAGAAATGCAGAATGCAGCGATTGCCCCACACAGGTTCCACAGAGTCACACTCTCACTCCTTAACAAAAACAGAAACAGAAACAAAACAGCCTAAAACCGCAGACCCAGGCTGCGTCAGCCCCCCGAGGAAGCGGAGTTCCCAGGACTTCAGTCTCTGGTCCTCGCTGCGTCTGCAGACTCGGTGGTCAGGTGCAGCAGCACCTCCCCGGCACCACGCAGGCGGCTTCTCTGCACATACAGGACAAGTGCAGGCTCCTTCTGGGAAAGGGCGCTCCAGAGAAACCTGAGCGTGCAGCCTCCCACAACCCGAGCGCTGCAGGATCATCCCCGGTAGGTGCTGCCCAGAGCAAAAGTAACCCAGACACCTGAAGGGCCTCTTCCTGGACTTAGTGGTAGAAACGCCACCTGACCAGAGCTCTGAGCTGCCACACAGACAGTGCCAAATCCAAAGCTGTCACTCTGCAATGAAGAAACCAAAGCCCAGAAAGGTCTGGGAAGGGCAGGCCAAGCCACAGGAAGGGCCACCTACATGCTGTCCTCACCCACCCCACCCCCAACACCTGCCCGGAAGCAGAGTGCCAGAAGTGCCACAGCAGTCTGACAGCTGCAAAGTCACGGCCATGAACGTGTGGCTCCCAGCACGTGGAAAGCAGCTCCTTGAAACTGAGAGGTGCTACAAGTGTAAAATACACACTCAAGTTCAAATAGTATGAAAAACAAGGCAAAATCTCATAATTTTTAAATATTGATTGCCAGGTCTCAAATCAGCACCCATATAGGATGCATTTATCGTGTCGCGGAATGAGGCTTAACTGCTACGCCACAGCACCAGCCCCTACCTGTTACTTTCTACTCTCTAATGTGGGTCCCAGATGATTTAAAATCACCTTTGTGGCTCCTACTACAGTCTACCACACAACTCTGTGTTAGAGCATGCACCTGGGAAGTACTTTGGGGTCATGCAGAGTGACAGCTACACCAATGCTAGGAAATAATTTCATAATTCTCCTAAAAAAGCCAAGTCCTTTCCACAGGATCTGTTGGTTAGTACGATGCCAAGACACCGTCCTAAACGCCCAGGAGAAAGAACGAGACGAGGGGTGGGAAGCAGCAACATCACCTCTTCAGGAGCAAACTCCAGCAGAGCGGGGGAACCTCTTGTCTGCCCACGGCCTCTGAAAATGTGTAACGTCATTCATGGGCTGTGGAAAATCAGCAACTTAAAGATTAGCCTGCTAGAGATCGCCTGCATTTTGAGTGCTGCCTGTGGTTGCCTTGGCAGGGCCAGACCAGTGATTGCATGGGCCCCATGGGACCCGCAAGGGGATATTCCCCACTCCTGCACCGGACGACCGGAGACGCCAATCCCCAGAAGTAACGTCCTGCGGGAGGGGACGCAGCCGGCTCTACCACCTCCAAGGGGGAGAAACAATCGATTCTCGCGGGACTCACGCTTAATGTACAGTTGACGTTCTGTGCTTTATAAAAAGTTCTTAAGCCACTAACAGCTTAGAAACAATCACAAGGAGGTAAAAACAAATCCCGGAAGAGAAAACCACTCCCATCTTCACTGAGAGGTGACTCACCTGGGTTGATGACCACCCAGCCACCGCGCTCCTGCTGGTGCATCCACGCTCTCCAGCCCCGGGCTCCCTTCTCCCCAGCCCGGGGCTCTCCACTATCCCAGAAGGGCTCAAAGAATTCCACCTGTTCAGATTCAGAAAAGAGCAGTGAGGCCTACCTTGAACAAAACTGCTGAGTCACTGGGCAAAATAAGTGCTAGTGGGCAAAATGGGAGGTCCTGAAATGTCCATCATCAGCCTTTGAAGTAGATCTGTGACACATACCCCCAAAACAATTATCTAGTGCAGTAGGCAACACCCAGAGAGCCCCCCATTACCCTCCCTGCCTGGTGGCATTCAAATCAAGCGTGGGCTGGACCTACTGACTTCTGACAGAATATGGCCACAGTGACGGACTGATGCTTCCGAGATGAGGTTATACAAACACCAGCCAAGGTGCAGAGAGGCGAGAAGGGACTGCAGCTGGGGCCGAAAGGAGAGGTTTCACGGCCAGTGCTGTGGCGTAGCAGATACAGCTGCCACTTGCGCTGGCATCCCACATGGGTGCCACTTCATGTGTCCTGGCTGCTCCACTTCCAATCCAGCTCCCTGATAATGGCCTGGGAAAAGCACTGGAAGACGGCCCAAGTATTTGGGCCCCTGCAACCACATGGGAGACCTGGAAGAAGCTCCTGGCTTTGGCCTGGCTCAGCCCTAGCCACTGCAGCCATTTGAGGAGTGAACTCTGACTCTCAAATAAATAAATCTTTAAAAAAACAAAGAGGGTGGCTTCCTGGTTCTGATCCTGTCAGGCCAGCCTAACCAGGGACAGCGGCACTGCCAGTTCCCCGAACACCACTGGACCCCCTGCACAGTAACTGAAGTCATGCTGCTCCCAAGCCCTTGTGAGGGGAAGGTGCCACAAAGTTCCAATGGGACAGACCATGAGCCCTTGAGGAAACAACCTCGGAAGTATATTCCTAACACCTGGCACAGAGCTCAGCGCACAGTAGGGACTCAATAAAAGTTGTCAGCACAGAGTTCTAAAGGCAGGTGTCTAGTGAGTGAAACGGTCTGCATTGTGAAGGCTGCCCAGGGAGCTCCTCCTTCATTCGCCTGGGCACTGGGTCTGCCCAGGAAGAGAGGGTGAGCACAGCAGTGAAGCAGGGACAGGGCTGTATCACCAACTGACAAGCAGACTTTCAACATGAGCCAGCAACCCACTCAACCAAAGCTTTTGTAAGAGATCCTTGGAAGAAGATAAGCAGGTTTCCAACAGGCACACCATGTACTGGGAGCCACAGGTAATTCCAGCCCGAGTCCAGGCAGCACCACCCATGCCCGGTAGAGTGCCATCTGCAGGAGAGTCAGGGCAGGGCACGAGCCTCCCACATGGGCCTTATTCCAAGTGCACACAGCAGCCTCAGGAAGGGGACCTGGAAGACTACAGGCCCTCTTCATAGGTCTTGCTCTAAGAACCGTGATGGAAGAAAATGCCCTCAAGAAAGAGAAGTGTATTAAGAAAAAAAAAAAGAAATATATATGTGATAAGTGGTTATAACCAATTTGTTTATCCCACAGACACAGACCAGCAATATCAAACTCCACTGTTTATGCTGTGCTACCAAGCTTGCGGCAACAATGTCTCTCAGTTAGAAAGGCCACAGGGAACACTGTTCTGTAAGAAGCCTTGTTCAGGTAAATGCCTTGGAAACAGGAACCCACGTGCCATTAGCATTTAAAATCTCAAGACCATGCATCGGTCTCTCGAACTTTCAGAGCCGTCAGAGCTGTCAGGCATGGGCAGTAGCCTCATAGTCACCAGTAGCTGCTCTCATCACAGTGGTCTCTGTAAAGGCGTGGGGCAGGACAGCTCTGGATCCTGACCCACAGTGCTCTTTGATGTCGGCTAAAAATCACTTCTATAGTACAATGTACCCTTAAGATATCAAAGCATGTCTTTAAGTTACCTTAACTACCTTACTAATAATCAGTTATACCAATATTAACAGGTATAATTCTTTTTTTATTTATTTTTATTTTTTTATTTTTGATAGGCAGCGTGGACAGTGAGAGAGACAGAGAGAAAGGTCTTCCTTTTTCCGTTGGTTCACCCCCAAAAATGACTGCTGTGGCTGGTGCACTGCGGCCGGCGCACCAGGCTGATCCGAAGCCAGGAGCCAGGCGCTTCTCCTGGTCTCCCATGCGGGAGCAGGGCCCAAGGACTTGGGTCATCCTCCACTGCCCTCCAGGGCCACAGCAGAGAGTTGTACAGGAAGAGCAGCGACCAGGACAGAATCAGGCGCCCCGACGGGGACTAGAACCCAGTGTGCCAGCGCCACAGGCAGAACATTAGTCTATTGAGCTGCGGCGCCGGCCTTAACAGGTATAATTCTTTCACATAATTTTGTTCAGAGGCAGCACAATCAAAATTGTCTGTACTAGCAATTCATAAAAACTCCACAGGAAGGTGAGCTCAGTCTTTCCAAACAGACTTAAAAAAAAAAAAAAGATATATTTATTTATTTGAAAGGCAGAGTTACAGAGAGGCAGAGGCAGAAAGAGAAGTCTTCCATCTTCTTGTTCACTCCCCAAATGGTCACAACGGCCAGAACTGGGCTGATCCGAAGCCAGGAGCCTCTTCCAGGTCTCCCATGTGAGTGCAGGAGTCCAAGCACTTGAGCCATCCTCCACTGCTTTCCCAGGCCATAGTAGAGCTGGATCAGAAGTGGAGCAGCCGGGTCTTGCACCGGCACCCATTTGGGACGCCAGCGCTTCAGGCCAGGGCATCAACTAATCAATAAAATGTCACAATTGTTCCCCTGACTGCTGGCAATAATTAGCATTTAAACTACAGCCAAAGTAAGAGAGACATCAGTGTGTCTTGATACTTACAGGGGGAAGAGGAATTTACTTTCATCTCTATATATTTCACTGCTTTTATTAAGCCATTTTCCTTGGATTACAGGAATATTTCAAAGAATTCATCCTCAGTTGAACTGGAAAAGGGTATTTCTAAAAATATCAAGGAGGCAGGGAAAGAGAAAGAGAGAGAGAGAGAGAGAGAGGACATGCAAGCGGAACGTGGTACCTGCACTTTGGTCGGCAGATCTCTCACGCTGTCGGGTTTGAAGAAAGTGAAGTCAATCATGGCCTGGAACAAAGAGACGGCCTTCTCCGAGTGGCCAGCCTGCCGCAGAAAGTGGCACTGCTGAAGAAAGAGCCCTGCACCAGGGAGAACAGGGAGGGCACAGGTCAGAGTCCCGCTGATCCCACACGAGGGCAGGACCCCAACCGCTCAAGCACGCGATGCGAGGCCGACACCACCTCCGGCCTGCCATGACTGCTGTATTTTCAAAGCTGTGACACATACATGCCCTGATGTAAAAGCAGTCACAACAGTGCTATAGTTCAAGTAAAGGAATTCTATGTCTGAAGCCATCAGACAAATAAAAGCCACACAGCAAATACAGCAAGTCAAGGGGTGGTCTGAATATTGGCTACCAAATTCTCAAAGCTCATTATTACCCACAAAATTGCAGGATAAGAATGACGTTGTAGATTTCTAGCAGAGAGCAAAGATCTTCCTCACGGCATCACTAGATGGCATTATGCACCAGCTACCTTCACCACACGTTTAGAGTCTGCTGTGACTAAATCAAGGCTCCAGGTCTGAAATTCTCAGTTCACCTGCAGTGTAGCATAATTCCATTTGCTAAATAGCAATAAGCCGGGATGGTTTTTGATCCAGTGGTTAAAATACCCACATCCTGCATCAGAGTGCCAGGGTTCAACTCCTGGCTCCACTCCTGACTCCAGCTTCCTGCCAATGCAGACCCTGAGAGGCAGCGGTGATGGCTCAAGTAACTGGGTTCCTGACACCAGTAGGGAGCCTGGGTTGCGTTCCCAGTCCTTGGCTTCAGCCTTGGTTCAGCCTCAGCTGTCTCAAGCATTTGGGGAATGAACCAGCAGAGGGGAATTCTAATAAAAACTTTTTTTAAATAAACAGCATTAATCAAATGGTGTCATGGGAGACTCCCTCTGTCACTGTGGTGATGCTATTTCTAGGGCAAAAGATCTGTTACTTTTAGATGCCAACACTATTACTCATTAGCAGGAGCGTCAGTAAAGTAAATGCCTGAGCTGCACTCATCGGAGACCTTTCCACTTAATGGGCACAACATTAAAGTACTACTGTCCCAGATGGAGAAGTTGGAGCTCAAACAGGTCAGGAACCTGCCCATGGCCATGCCACAGCCAAATATGGGACGCACACAGGATTCAAGTTCAAGAGTGATATTTTCCAGCTCCTGCATACCAAGCAAACTCCTAACCTCAATTCTACCAAGATGTCTATTCCAGGCTCCTTCGGGACACCAAATGCATTAATGGCACAACACCAAGAGTGTTCATCTGTGCAGTGATGGCTGGCAAGGGGGCCTGCGAGCACATTCCCATCGGAGACAGCAACCAGGTGACAAGCACAGGAGTCCCACAGGTGAGGCCGCCCAGAGCCAAAGCAGCCAAACGGCCTGACCACGTTTACTTGGTTAAACAGCAGGAGAGTTTGAACTTGTTATCAGTGACATTTCCTTAACCCTCCTGGCTCGAACACACACCAGGAGAGCACTGGGAGGACTGGTAATCCATAGTAATCAACAAGATTAGAATACTTAAAAAAAAAGCCGGCGCCGTGGCTCAATAGGCTAATCCTCCACCTTGCGGCGCCGGCACACCGGGTTCTAGTCCCGGTCGGGGCGCCGGATTCTGTCCCGGTTGCCCCTCTTCCAGGCCAGCTCTCTGCTATGGCCAGGGAGTGCAGTGGAGGATGGCCCAGGTGCTTGGGCCCTGCACCCCATGGGAGACCAGGAAAAGCACCTGGATCCTGGCTCCTGCCATCGGATCAGCGCGGTGCGCCGGCTGCAGCGGCGGCCATTGGAGGGTGATCCAACGGCAAAGGAAGACCTTTCTCTCTGTCTCTCTCTCTCACTGTCCACTCTGCCTGTCAAAAAAAAAAAAAAAAAAAAAAAAGTGTTGTATCACATGAGCTGGAATTTTCAGACGTGAAGCGCACATAAACCCTCATTTTCAGTGGGGTCACAGGCACGCCCCTCCCAGCCCGTGGATCTCGCGGTCTCCTTACCAAACATCGCCTCTTCCGTGCCAGGCAGCGCGGGGTGAGACAAGACGCTGCCGTCCTTCACAGCCGACAAAGTACTCAGGCACTTTCCATACAGACTGTGAATCTTTGATACTGAGAAGGTGCTAAACTGGCTCTGGCAAAATAAAAGGTATTTCTGCCAAAGGGCTGTATTATTAGGGTGTAAAAAAATCAGTTTCTGCCACTCTTTGAGCAGAGCGGAGGGCTCCCAGAACTCGGCACACAGCTGCAGCTTGGCGAGCTTCAGCTCCACGCTGCTCGGGTTGCTCTCGACGGCCCGCTCCAGGACAGCCAGCTTCTTCTCCAAGAGCAGCCTCAGGGACTTCTTCCGCTTCTCCCGCTCGCCGTCCTCGATGGTGTACAGGCCAGGACACCGCATGACCTCATCCTCAACAACAAAAACACCAGCTTACCAATGCAGTTTCCACAGTGCCTTCACAGACTTACACGCAGCCCCAGTGGCTTCCCCACCCCTCCAATGAACTGTACTCAGACCTTCTCCGTAGCGATGTGTTTATTACAATTGCTTTTAGTGAAGCTTGGCGCCCAGGGTATCTACGCCACCTAGTGTATTTCATCTTGTGTTTATTTCACCTGACCCACCTGTCTACGAGCTGCCATTTTAAACTTGGCTTTATGTACCGATAACTGACACACAATCCTTGGAACGCTTTCCTGAAGGGCTAACCTTACCAACGACTCGACCAAACAAACGTAGGACAAATAGGGCTAAGTGTGCGAGCGGGTCACAAGGCAGGACTCAGACGACTCCGTGTGGTACTGGAGGAGGCGAGTGCCCAGCTCTAACCAGGCCACGTCCTGAGCAGCCTCCTCTCAGCTCTGTGCACTCTGTCCTTTGGGAAGACCTCTCCCTGCCAGGGGCACCCACTCCTCCTTCAAGATTCTGTTCCCACGTCACATGCTCGTGGCAGCCCCCTCTCTCCTCCCCAGCAGTGAGTCAATCCCTCACTCTACTCCCAATTCACACCCAGCACGGACCACCCAGGCTGTGTTTATTCGTCACATCAGGCTTCCTCACGGGCTGTGAGCAGCTCAGGACTGTATTCCAGTCATCTCTGTCTGCCCGGGGCCAGGGTTCCTCACGGCAGCTCAAGAGGTGCTACCCAGAAGCGGGAATGGAATCCTAACAGACCAGATCCAAGACAGCCATGCTTACCTGAAAAGCAACAAATGCCATCCACAGCTGAGTATCCCAAGGATTCTCCCGAACTTTCCTGTTAAACTCCTCGACCTTGGCCTTGAGAGCAGCATTCTCTCTGTCTGCCTGTGAGTCAGGCTGCTTTGACTCTTGCTCTGAAGGACCCTGTCCTTGTAACCACTGTGTGGTTGACTGATCATAAACCCCTAGAGGATTCAGCCAGGTTGCAACAGGAGCAGTCACATCGTCCGAGTCCCTCACTGGGATAAAGGGGCCTGGCTCAGCGGAGGGAGATGCAGTTTTACTGGTAATGGCGACGCCATCGATGTTCATCAATCCCACACTCTTCTTTGTAAAATAGCGTTCAACATGCTTACGGGTCCGCTTCTTTTCTGTGGAAGCCCCTTCCCAAGAAATACACTGTTTCTTGGGGTTTATGCCAAGGCAGGAATCTCCTTTCCTCCTGTATCTTGTATACCAAAAAAAAAAAAAAAAAAAAAAAAAAAACAGTTACCGAAAGAAGAACAGCCGACTGCCTCTGGATGGGCAAAGGCTCATGGACCCAAACCCTCGGTGACGTGAGCTGACCGCACATCTTCCTTTCAAATTGTGTCTACTCAGAGACCACGAGCCCTGGCTGCCTGCCCTCACTGCTTCCTCTAACACTTCGACTCTTCCTCACCATCTCCTGAAATGAACCAAGCCAGTCTCTAAAGGTGAACGGCGTATACTCCCCTGCAGCAAGGCAGCTAAGGCACCCCGCATGCAGTCTGTCACTTCATCAGCCAGCAGAAACTGTCCTCCCCTGTGCCGCCCTGTTCCTGGAGGACACTAAGACGTTGGAACCTACGGGGTCCCGTGTCTACTGTCTGCAGTTCACTCTCAAATGCACCAGGAAAAGATGGCGGATGGACAGCTGTGCAACAAAGCAAGGTCAGCAGGGTGTCAATGGCAGAACACAGAGGTGGGTACTGTGAAATTCTTTCAACTTCTGCTGTACATCTGCAAGTTCTCAGAATAAAAAGCTGTGGGTAGAAATGCAGGGGAGTGCTGCCTCCATCCTCTGTAACTGCCACACGCTCTGCCTCCCTTCACCCCAAGCAGCACAGCCTCCTGGCTGCTGCGCGGTCCGCCAGCACCTCTCTGCCTCAGCCTGTCAGGCTGGGCTCCTCTCACACATCACCCAAAGGCTCTCTCCACCCCTTTCTAGCCTCACTCCCAGTTCCTCCTAGGACACCTCACAATAATCCCTCTCCATCCACCTAAGTCAAACAGCTCTAGCAAAGGGGTGGCAAGGGAAAACTGTGCTAACAGAACTCTAGATACAGTTGTCATTCCTTAAGGAAGAAACTTCAACACAGCGGGCTTTGGTCTCCTTAATTAATACTATTTCAACAGCATTGTTTCCTCATCCGTATCACTAACAACGCGCAAGATTTTAGATATTCAAGTCTCTTTAAAAATGTTTACTGAGTTCTCTGACTTTAAAACTGATAGGGCCGGCGCCGCGGCTCACTAGGCTAATCCTCTGCCTTGCGGCGCTGGCACACTGGGTTCTAGTCCCGGTTGGGGCGCCGGATTCTGTCCCGGTTGCCCCTCTTCCAGGCCAGCTCTCTGCTGTGGCCAGGGAAGGCAGTGGAGGATGGCCCAAGTGCTTGGGCCCCGCACCCCATGGGAGACCAGGAGAAGCACCTGGCTCCTGGCTTCGGATCAGCGCGGTGTGCCGGCTGCAGTGGCCACTGGAGAGTGAACCAACGGGAAAGGGAAGACCTTTCTCTCTGTCTCTCTCTCTCACTGTCCACTCTGCCTGTCCAAAAAAAAAAAAAAATGATAGAAAAATCTTATTTTCCTACATTATTAGCTACTTTCAGACACGCATTTGAGTACATACACAGGTACATTTGAGTACATTATAGGTACACACACATCCTTTGTTGTTTTTTTTTTTTTAAGATTTATTTATTTATTTGAAAGTCAGAGTCACACAGAGAAAGGAGAGGCAGAAAGAGAGAGAAGGAGAGGCGGGGTGGGGGATGGGGGTCTTCCATCTGCTGGTTCACTCCCCAGTTAGCCACAATGGCCGGAGATGCGCCAATCCAAAGCCAGGAGCCAGGAGCTTCTTCCAGGTCTCCCACACGGCTGCAGGGGCCCAAGGACTTGGGTCATCTTCTACTACTTTCCCAGGCCATAGCAGAGAGCTGGATCGAAGTGGAGCAGCCGAGTCTCGAACCAGCACCCATATGGGATGCTGGCCCTGCAGGCGGCAGCTTAACCCACTATACCACAGTGCTGGCCCACCCCCACATCCTTTTTAAAAACAGTTGTTGAGGCCAGAGTTGTGGCATAGCAGGTAAAGATGCTGCCTGTGACACTGGCATCCCCTAGGCACAGGTTCAAGACCTGGCTGCTCCATTTCTGATCCAGCTCCCTGCTGATGTGCCTGGGGAAAGCATCAGAGGATGTCCCAAGTGCTTTGGCCCCTGCTACCCACGTGGGAGACCCAGAAGAAACTCCTGGCTTCAGACCAGCCCAGCTCCAGCCACTGTGGCCATTTGGGGAGTGAACCAGAGGACGAAGATCTCTAATACTGCCTTTCAAATAAATACATAAATCTTTGGGAAAACAACAATTGTTGTCAGTCTTGGGCTTCTCCCACCACTTGTAAGCATTTCCCTATACCGTTAGTCTCAGAAAATACCATTTGATGGACTTCAAACTGTTCCATTGGATGGATGTGCCATAACTTATTTAACCATTTTCCCTATGGTTGGATATTTAGATTGTATTCAATTTATCATTTACCATATAATCTATTTTTTTTTTTTTTGACAGGCAGAGTGGACAGTGAGAGAGAGAGAGAGAGAGAGAGAGAGAGAGAAAGGTCTTCCTTTTTGCCGTTGGTTCACCTTCTAATAGCCGCCAAGGCCGGCACGCTGCGCTGATCCGAAGCCAGGAGTCAGGTGCTTCTCCTGGTCTCCCATGCGGGTGTGGGGCCCAAGGACTTGAGCCATCCTCCACTGCCCTCCCTGGCCACAGCAGAGAGCTGGCCTGGAAGAGGGGCAACTGGGACAGAATCCGGCGCCCCAACCAGAACTAGAACCCGGTGTGCCGGCGCCGCAAGGTGGAGGATTAGCCTATTGAGCCACGGCGCCGGCCCTACCATAGAATCTTAATAACTGGAAAGCACTAGGATGTATCATAATGCAATATTCCCCCAAATGAAGGCACTGTTTCTCATCAAATAATCAGCTAGCCTTCACTGGATTAACTCCAGAGGACAGGATCCCTACTTTGGCAGTTAAGTAATGGCATACATACATTTATTTAAATGGATGCAGCCATAGGCATCTGACCAAAACAAAAAAATAAGGGCCGGCGCCGTGGCTCACTAGGCTAATCCTCTGCCTAGCGGCGCCGGCACACCGGGTTCTAGTCCCGGTTGGGGCGCCGGATTCTGTCCCGGTTGCCCCTCTTCCAGGCCAGCTCTCTGCTGTGGCCAGGGAGTGCAGTGGAGGATGGCCCAAGTGCTTGGGCCCTGCACCCCATGGGAGACCAGGAAAAGCACTTGGCTCCTGGCTCCTGCCATCGGATCAGCGCGGTGCGCCGGCCGCAACACGCCGGCCGCAGCAGCCATTGGAGAGTGAACCAACGGCAAAGGAAGACCTTTCTGTCTCTCTCTCTCACTGTCCACTCTGCCTGTCAAAAAAAATAAATAAATAAATAAAAAATAAATAAATAAATAAATAAAAAAACACTGAAGGCTTATGAGACAAGAGAAAGAGGGGGGAGTATGGGTAAATGGAGCTACTGTTCTGCCCCACCTCTCCTCGGTGGGCCTGAGCCCAGGAGCAGAGAGAACCGGGCACCATAAATCTTTCGTTGAGAGTCCTCACAGTGCCAGACTGCCTGGCTCCAAATTCTAGCTCCCACACTGTAGGCTGAGTGGCCTTGATCTAGTCCTTAAATCTGTGCTTCAGTTTCATCTGTAAACTGGAGATAACAGCTTCTATGTCACACAGTTGCTGGGGTGATCAACAGTGTATTAATATAAGGACTTTGGAACAATGTCTACTACACAGTAAGTGCTAGATAAGTCTAAATTATCATTTTATAAAACTCAGCTCCTCAGGGGCTGGTGCTGTGGCAAAGCAGATAAAGCCTCTGCCAGCAGAGCCAGCATCCCATATGGGTGCAAATTCGAGTCCTGGCTGCTCTACTTCCAATCCAGCTCCTTGCTAATGTGCCTGGAGAAGCAGAAGAAAACCGCCCAAGACCTTGGGCCCCTGCACCCACGTGGCTTTGGATTGGCCCAGCTCTGGCCATGTGGCCATTTGGGGAGTGAATCAGTGGATGGAAAACCTCTCTCTCTCTCTCTGCCTCTGCCTCTAACTGCCTTTCAAATAAATAAATCTTAAAAAACAACAACAACAACATGGCTCCTCAATGGAAGCCAACTGTTTTATCTGGTTTATAGTCAAAGAAACAATGATCTATTTCAAAAATGGAGAGAAGACTGAGCTGAAGTGCCAAGCAATTTTCTGAGGGTGATCTGACTCCAACGTTCACACTATCAGAAACCAGCCCCTGTTGACCACACTTCTCCAACACACACCACGTCACTGTCACTGCTGGGAGGCCCACACTAGCATGAGGTACGCTTTTATACAAAGCCAAAGCTGGGCCCTGAAACTTCTACCCACTAATCTTACAAGTCACAAAGCACACTGTCACTCTGCCTTTCCAAAGACAGTCCAACAAGGCTTAAACGACCAGACCACATCCTCACATCTGGCACCCCAGGGTCCTGCCACCCTCCTGAGCCCTCAGTTATCAGTGTCCCTCTTGAAGTGTGCAAGCTCAGTCCCTGACAACGTCTGCACCATCCTCGACCACCTCCCAGTGCCATGGGCTAAAGACCATGCTAGGCCTGGACACAACAGTCACACAGCCATTAACACAGGTGGACCTCACCCAAGCGCACTGAGTTACCGGGACGCACAGCCACGCCATCTCTGTAACAGCAGGATCTCTGCGGTTTAATATCGTCTCTAAGTGCTCTCTTGCTAAGGCCTCAGCCGTTCATCAGCAGAAGCTTAGAAGCCATTCTTTGTTAATTTTTTTTTCCTTTCTGACCTACTAATAATAACCCTTAATATCTGCACACCAATTTCCAACTCCTTACCAAATATCTCTGACATTTGAGGACACAGCAGGCAAGAATCAGTCCTCTCAACTGACAATGGAGAAACAAGACTCAGGTTCTGGGGGACCTGCCTGGGATTACAGCGCTAAGAAGCTGCAAAGTCCCAGCAAGAACCCGAGTCCTCTGCCTCCAGGTCGAGACGATGCCTTTCCACACCACCTGTCTCAGCTGTACTTGTGGAGCATGAAAGAACATGTGAGGCCAGAGAAACAGGTTCAAGTCCCAAGCCTGCTACTTCCTGGCTGCGAGACCCCGAGCAGTTAGCTACTTAACTCTCTGAGATGCCTCTTCCTTCCTGCAAAGCAAGAGTGCTGTGCTCATGCTCACGGAGCAGCTGCGAGGATCAGACAGCGTGACGGCAGGGAAAGAATGAGCACAGGACCACGATACGCCTGCACACCCTAGCCGAGTTTGCTGGCTTCCCCATCTTTCACTGGGCACCCCCCACATCTGTGGCACTGGACAGTGGTGGCACAGGAGCATTGAACAAGATAAGAATGCAGTAAGGGGCCAGCGCTGTGGCGCAGTGGGTTGATCCTCCACCTGCAATGCCAGCATCCCATAGGGCTGCCGGTTCCAGTCCCAGCTGCTCTTCTTCTGATTCAGCTCTCTGCTGTGGCCTGGGAAAGCAGTAGAAGATGGCCCAAGTACTTGGGCCCTGCACCCATGTGGGAGACCCAGAAGAAGCTCCTGGCTCCTGGCTTCGGATGGGCACAGCTCCGGCCATTATGGCTATTTGGGGAGTAGCAGAATGAAGACCTCTCTCTCTCTCTCTGCCTCTCCTTCTCTCTCTCTGTGTAACTGACTTTCAAATAAATAAAATAAATCTTTTTAAAAAAAGTAAAAAAAAATTTAAAAATTTCAGTTATTTGAAAGGCAGAAAGATGGGCACACAGACACTGTGTGTGTTAGAAACAGACTAAGAGAATTTCCCATGCACTGACTCACTCCCCAAATGGCTACAACAGCCAGCACTGGGCCAGGCTGAAGCGGGAACTCAATCCAAGGGTCTAAGGTGGGTGGCAAGGACCCAGGTAGTTTAGCCATCCCCTGCTGCCTCTGAAGGCACCATAAGCAGGAAGGTAGAACAGGGAGTGCAGCCACACTCCATCATGAGATGTCGGTGTTGTAAGCATATCTTAACCACTATGCCAAACCCCTGACCCTCAAATATTTTTGACTGACAGATCAGAAAACTTCAAACACATTACTGAAGCAAAAACCTTCACTTATTTTTATAATTATCTGATCGCATGTGCTATAAACATTTTGGAAAAAGTCATTACCATTAAATCTCTTTTTTTTTTTTTTTTTTTTTGGACAGGCAGAGTGGACAGTGAGAGAGAGACAGAGAGAAAGGTCTTCCTTTGCCGTTGGTTCACCCTCCAATGGCCGCCGCGGCCGGCGCACCGCGCTGATCCGATGGCAGGAGCCAGGTACTTATCCTGGTCTCCCATGGGGTGCAGGGCCCAAGGACCTGGGCCATCCTCCACTGCACTCCCGGGCCACAGCAGAGAGCTGGCCTGGAAGAGGGGCAACTGGGACAGAATCCGGTGCCCCGACCGGGACTAGAACCCGGTGTGCCGGCGCCGCTAGGCGGAGGATTAGCCTAGTGAGCCACGGCGCCGGCCATTAAATCTCATTTGTTAAGGACACACGTGGAAGGCAGATAAATAAAAGGCCCCCATCACTTTGTAAAACAGCATACAGATTAGACACTTCTATCACAATGAATGAATCTAAAAATACCTTGTAAAAGTTAAATCAACAAATGTTGAACATGTGCCATGCCAGGCACTAGGCCAAGCACTAGGACTAAGTAAGGCCTCCCATGACCTCAGGTGTAAGCTCTCATTTCCCAACACGACATGAGAACTGTGCCTCAAAAACTCAGTAATCCATGAAGCCCAACAGAACCTACCCACGAGAGACACACAGGCAGTCAGTGCTGAGAGTTCAGAGGAGAAAGAACGTCACCAGCGAAATGAGGGAAAACATGACGGATACCTTGCTATATCCCCGCGGTAGAGAGACTTATACTCCCAGTTGGCAGGATCAGGCTTCTTATCTGTTCTGAAGGTTTCTCCAGTCACAGCCTGGACATCCTCAAGCCAAACAAGGCGACGCCCAGTCTCGGCAGCAGAGTTACTTCCTGGACTGTGGGACACGAGAGAGTGAAGAAAGAAAAGGGACACATACTTCAGAAATCTCTCAGTGAGACATGGCATTTTCAGAAATATGCAAGCTAAACGTTCACACCACTCATGCAGGGAACACCTAAGCCCACAGAATGCGCACCTGCCAGAGAGAGGGGAGGGCAACTCTAGCTCTGGGAAGAGTTTCCAAAGCAGGCAAAGCCCATCGCCACAAATGACACTTTACACAGGGGATTTTTCTAAGAAACACTCCTGCTCCAAGGCACCAGAGTGCTAAGCAGAGGGAACTACCACACCTTCACAGGTGAAAAACCACTGACCCTGAAGTCGGCCATCTTTCCTTCACCTAACTCACCTCAAAGTGCTCATTTTATTCCAACTGAAAACCAAGAGCCACTGCTCTGACTGGTTCAGGCTCCTGTGTAAGCTGAGCTGGTCCCAGTCTCACTGTGAGTCTGGGCTCTGTGCCCCGTGTTTTGCCCACACCTGGCCAGCAGGCAGGGAGGGAACAGGCTGCAGTCCACGGCAGGTTGAGACCCAATCCACAGACACACAGGGAACCTCCTCCCTAGGAGTCACGTGAGAGGAAGAGGATTTTCCGGCACCCAGCATCTTTCTTCCTCTATAGAAAATCAGTTTCTAATGTTGCTGACACAAGAAGCTGCCAAGGCCACGAGAACAGCCCTTCACCGTCGTTCAATCCTTGCTTTTTAGCTCAGCCCAGATACAAAGATCTCCAGGTTTCCAAATCATTCTTGGTAGCAAGTACAAGGCAATGGCAGTTCAGGAACCCAAAGCGGTTACTAATAAGTATGTCAGGCAGTGAGCCTCAGGTTACAACACACGGTGATTTTAACACGCTCACCTTCAGAACAACTGTGGAGGGTTTTCTGTCCACCAAACCTTAGGGCCCCATGAAAGGTGGGAGAGAGAGCCCACTAGAAACACAATGATGGGACCAGCATTGTGGCACAGCAGGTTTGGCATCCACCTGCAATGCCAGCGTCCCATATGGGCGCCAGTTCAAGACCCAGCTGTCCTGCTCCCGATCCAGCTCCCTAATGCACCTGGAAAAGCAGCAAAAGGTGGCCCAAGTGTTTAGGCCCCTGCACCCACGTGGGAGACCTGGAAGAAGCTCCTGGTTCCTGGCTTCAGCCTGGCCCAGCCCTCGCTGTTGCAGCCTTTGTGGAGTGAACCAGCAGATGGAAGACCCCTCTTTCTCTTCCCTTCTTTGTAACTGTCTTCCAAACCACCCCCCCCCCCAAAAAAAAAAAAGAAAAAGAAAAGCAACACAATGATGCATTCCAGAAAGAACTATAAAGGCAACTGTGCAAGAAAATAAAATGTGGGCCAGCTGCAGACCACCCCCGGGGTGGCTCTGGTTCTGGGGTCAGGAAACAGTGCTGGGCTGTGCGCGAGAAAGCCTCTGCCGCACCCAAGGGTGAAGAAAAGCTCAGGCTAAGAAACGAAGGGAAGTCAGCAGCTTCAGTCTCCGGGAAGCTGTCCCTGTGGTGTGCCCACCGCCACCCCTGTGAACACACCGCCCTGACAGCACCAAAAGCCTCTCACGCAAGCGACTCCCTCAGTCCCTGTTTGGGGAAAAACAAGCGATTCTTCCAAAGCACCTTCCAGAAAGACTGTACAGTTAACAGCAAGAAAGTGAAGGAGCAACACTTAAAAATGCTATCTGGGCCATAAAACAAGCAAGAGGCTGTCAAAAGCCCCTCTGATGCAGTTAAAGCGCAGGCTGCAATGAATTTTTTCACATTCTAATGGCAGTTCCTTTGTGGTCTGGGGAAATCCTTTAAAATCAATTTCCTCAGGTAGAAAAAAGGACAAGTAACTGAAAGCTGAGTTTTCAGAAGATATAATTAAAGGAGCTTGCTTGAAGACATACTAAGATAAATATTCATAATCTAGACATCCATTCATTCGTAAACAAAAACCCACAGAATACCACTTGAGGAGGCCTTGTGCAAGTGCTGGGGCCACAGTGCTGAGTAAGCTAAGCCTGGCTCCTGTCCTCACATCCAGACACACATGGAACACAACCGGACATTCATCCCAGCTGGATCCTTCCTCACTCCTTGGCTTTTTCTTCCTAAGGGCAACCTTGGGTTGTGGGTATAGCACCCATAGTACACAGAGGTCCATGACCTGGCTTCCTGGAGCCACAGAGGCCTGCAACTGTCCCCACCGATGACGAAGACTTCAGAAGACAGCAGTGCGTGCCTCTCTGATTCCAGACTTGTTCCACACAGAGCTCTCCCTGACATCCATGGGACTTCCAAGCACATAACAAAGGAAACAATCTCTGAAGAGCTGCAAAAATCTCAATGGCACTGATATTTTTAAAGTATGCCCTGGAAAAGTACTTGAATTTTCTCTCTTGTAAACCATATGAGCAAATAAAAAAGTGAAATGAGCGGTGATCCAGGAGGTTTCACCACACCACTCACCTGACGTGGAGGCAAAGCACTTGTCTATGCAGAGGCTGGTCAACAAGGCAGAGGGAAAGCTAGACTGAGCACCTAAGCTGTGACCACTGTGTCCAGTGACTTCAACTTGCTCAGCATGGACAGCAGAGTGACACACGGGAGAGACACAGACCCCAAGGAAAGAGTCTGAGTACTTTGGTCACGAGCTGTTCTACATCTTCAACACAGTGGTCCTGAGCCATTGTGGAACCAGAGGAGGAGAAGGGGGTGCTGTAACTGGCGCAGCAGGTAAAGCTGATGCCCACAGTGCCTGCATCCCATATGGGTGCCGGTTCCAGTCCCGGCTGCTCCACTTCTGATCCAGCTCTCTGCTATGGGCTGGGAAAGCAGTGGAAGAGGAGGCGAAGGGAAGCAAGGACTACCTCGGCACTGCACTAACCTCTTCCGGCAAGAATGTGCGCACACACACGGGTGCTGACAGGAGTGCTAAGTGGAAGACACACAGGAGATGCGAGACTTTCCTCTTACTCTCTGACCAGGTGAAGGCCAGCAGCCCTCAGACACAGAAGCCCTAACCCCTTAACGCATGCCCCATCCACCTACCAAGTGGCACAGCTCCCGTCTCTGAAAACCCCCCAGACTTCTGATCTGAATCAGGTACTAACATAACCATTACTTTAGTAACATTTCACAGATAAAGTCGTGTCCCTAATTTTCCCTTTTCTTCAGAAGCTGCCGTAGTGCTAGAGCCCTCTTGTGCCAGAATGGCTGAATAATCAAACACCTATCCTGGAGCAGCAATCACGGGAGAACGTCCAAGATTTATCCGTCACAGCGCCCAAGACTCCAACCTACCCTGGTTTCTCGGAGGCCCTCCTGCTGCCCCTGGAGGGCCCGTCCTCGGCAGAATCAGTGTCCGGCGCAGACTCGCTGCTGCCAGACTGCCCGCGTCTTCTCTTTGTCTTCCTGTGATGCTGATGCTTCCTCTTCTTCTTCCTCTCTTTCTTCTTTTTTCTGCTCGTTTGGATGAGCTTCTGGTCGGTGTCACTTTCATCTGCAGGTTCTGATTTCAGAGAACTCCTGATTGAGAAAATCGACTTTAGTATTGTTTTTTTTTTTTTTTTTTTTTTTTTTTTGACAGGCAGAGTGGACAGTGAGAGAGAGAGACAGAGAGAAAGGTCTTCCTTTGCCGCTGGTTCACCCTCCAATGGCCGCCGCTGCAGCCGGCGCACCGCGCTGATCCTGGCAGGAGCCAGGAGCCAGGTGCTTTTCCTGGTCTCCCATGGGGTGCAGGGCCCAAGCACCTGGGCCATCCTCCACTGCACTCCCTGGCCATAGCAGAGAGCTGGCCTGGAAGAGGGGCAACCGGGACAGAATCCGGCGCCCCAACCGGGACTAGAACCCGGTGTGCCGGCGCCGCAAGGTGGAGGATTAGCCTATTGAGCCACGGCGCCGGCGACTTTAGTATTGTTTTTAAAAGAGACACTCAGAAAATAACATGTAAGAAAGTAAACATGCAATAGGGAACGCTAAATGCTCAGATTTACCATTTGCCTACATGTGATATGGTGCCTCCCAGAACTACGGTTCACCTTAGACTTAACAATTAGAACTAAGGGCACAACAAATGAAGAAATTCTGATTTTAATAGTTTCTAAATACATACTTTTACATGTACATGAGAGTACTTAAAAAGTCTGCAAAAATGGAACTAAAAAATAAACCTGAGGCAGGCACGAGGGCACAACATGTTAAGCTGCCACTCGGGATGCACACATCCCCCATCAGAGTGCCAGTCTGATTTCCAGCCCCTCTGCTTCCAAGCCCGCTTCCTGCTAATGCCGTCTGGGAGGCAGCAGACGACAGGTCAAGTACCTGAGTCCCTGCCACCCATGTAGGAGACCTAGTTGGAGTTTTGGGCTCCTGGCTTTGGCCTGGCCATCCTGGCTGTTGCAGACTTTTGGGGAATAAACCAGTGGATGGAAGATCAATATCTCTATCTATTTCTAGCTCATGAACTTTCTCAAGATTTTGTATTCAACTTTAGGTGAAAATAACTTACCAGCTGTCTTATCAAATATACTATTAGAAACAATTTTTTAAAACTAACGTATTTGAAAGGCAGAGTTACAGGGGTCAGGAGGATAGGGGAAGATCTTCTATCTGCTGGTTCACTCCCCAAATGGCCACAGCAGTGGGGACTGGGCCAGGCCAAAGCCAGGAGCCTAGAACTCTATCGTGTCTCCCACATGGACGGCAAAAGCCCAAGTATTTGGACCATCTTCCACTGCTTTCCCAGTTGTATTAGCAGGGAGGTAGATCGGAAGTGGAGAAGCCAGGACTCAAACCAGCGTTCATATGGAATGCCAGCATCACATCGCAGGTAGAGGCTTAACCTGGTGTGCCACAATGCCAGCCCATCAGATACAGTATTTTTAAAGTAACCTCATAAAAGACTTCTGTTCAATGCCATACATTATAGGCTAACATGTCCTTAGTGTAGTAGAAAGTTAATTATGGTCCCTATCTTGAAAGCTGACAATGAACACTTCTTCCTCATTATTAAAATATCTGCAAACGCTCTCTTGGGCATCAACTGGTCTCCATTTCCAAAGGTTTCATGAACATTTTGGGTACAGGGTTTCACAGGATTTTCACCTATTAATACGGCCATTTAGTCTATATCTGCGAGAGACATTTCTTAATTCCATGATTTACAACAAAATTCTTTCACAGCTGGGTACAGATTATGCTTCCCCTGATGTGTTCATAGATCTTACCCCACATTATATAAGCTCCTTCTATTTCTACAGGAAAAAGAAAGCCAACTAAAGAAATACCTGAATTACAATACCCTAAGGGTCACTCACACAGTTAGTAAAGTTACTCACGAAGCACAATGAGGCCAATTCCCTCATGGCTACTTAAAGGCACTAACTGTGACAGGTCCTCACCAGTGCAATGCAAAGGGACAGAGGCATGATGGGTAGAATGAGGTCTGGGAAAATGAAGTCAGATGAAGAGCTGATGGAGCTCTGCTACCACAGGGTCTCTCAGGGGTGTCACCTCAGCCACGCTGCAGACAGGGATCCGGTGAATACCAACACCTGGTGAGAAGGCTACCTTGGCAGTGGTGCCCCTTCAGAAACCAGGGCCGTGGGCTCCTCAGTTTGGTGGCTCAGCGACGGCAGGCTTCCAACACAAAAGCTAGGGTTGCTCAGCCAGTCTAATTCTGCACATGCAAAAGGGACAAGAGATCAATGAAATTAGCTCAATGTGGTTTTTTTTTTTGTTTTTTTTTTGTTTTTTTTTTTTTGACAGGCAGAGTGGACAGTGAGAGAGAGAGAGACAGAGAGAAAGGTCTTCCTTTGCCGTTGGTTCACCCTCCAATGGCCGCCGCGGCTGGCGCGCTGCGGCCGGCGCACCGCGCTGATCCGATGGCAGGAGCCAGGAGCCAGGTGCTTTTCCTGGTCTCCCATGGGGTGCAGGGCCCAAGCACCTGGGCCATCCTCCACTGCACTCCCTGGCCACAGCAGAGAGCTGGCCTGGAAGAGGGGCAACCGGGACAGAATCCGGCGCCCTGACCGGGACTAGAACCCGGTGTGCCGGTGCCACTAGGCGGAGGATTAGCCTAGTGAGCCGCGGCGCCGGCCTCAATGTGACTTCTAAAGCAAGAAATCCACCCATCTTATCAGGTGACTTCCTAATTCACGGCCGATGTCAGTCACTTTATTTATGAGACAGAGACAGTACACGTGTCAGAGCACCCCATCTGCTGGTTCACTCCATAAATGCTCAAAAAGGTCAAGGCTGGGCCGGGACCAAGCAGGGAGCTAGAAACTCAACTCGTGTCTCCAATGTGAGTTGACAGGAACCCAATTATTTGAGCCATCACCACTGCCTCCCAGAATCTGCTTTAGTAAGAAGGTGGAGGCAGGACAAAGTGTCAGGTACTGACCCAGGTACTTACTACATGATGGGACACTGGCATTTTAACTGCCAGACTAAGCGTTTGCCGCAGCAGACATTTTGAACGGCCCACAAAAGCCCAGTGGAATCCATGAAATCTGTGTTTCACAGAGCATGGCCCGTTTAAACACACTGTAAAATATTTAAGAGTGAAATCGTTTTGTGGTATATTAGGCTGCAGCTTAAGCAAAAGTCATTCTAACAAGCACAGCCCAAAAGGCAACAAGGCTTTACATATTCCACTGACACGGGCTCATGAGCACGAATGTTCCAAAGCATTCCGTTCCAATGACTTCAAATCTGATTCAGATAATTCCTAAGTTAAAAAGTCAAACCATGCATAAAAGCTGCTGTGACAGAAGATTAGGATCTTTTAAAAAATATCCCAGGGTCAGTGCTATGGCACAGCGGGTTAGCCACATCCTGGGATGCTGGTATCCATGTGAGCACTGGGGGTACCACTTCTTATCCAGCTTCCTGCTCACATACCTGGGAAGCAGTGGACAGCCCAAGTGCTTGGGCCCCTGCCACCCATGTGGGAGACCTGGCTGAAACTCCTGGCTCTTGGCTTCGGCCTAGCCTAACCCTGGCCATTGTGACCATGTGGAGATGAACTGGCAGATGGAAAGTCTCTGTCTCTCCTCTGTCTCTCCGTCTTTCAAAGAAATAAACAATAAAATAATACATCTGATTTTAGTTGAACAGAATCCTGGAGAAAGCTGTCAGATTAAAGATGCTTTATTAATCAAATTGCAAAGTCCTTTTCAAAAATTACTTTATCCTCATATAATTTACAGTGCTTGACAGAAATCAAATATGTTTAGACAACTGTGTCAATAGTAAGCAGAATGCAACAGATTACAGGGAAGACCAGCAAGATACCAAATGCCTAGGGTTTAAGAGAGAGGATCTAACTGCTGACAGATATTTGGGTCTTGTGGCTTGGCAAACAGACTGTGGCTGCAACTTGCCTGGACGCTGGTACTGTGGCACATACACGGCTCTGAAGGAAGAAAGGTGGAAACATGGGCCAAGAAGCCACTTCAGAACCACTGCTTAATAAAAATGGGCAGCTACCTGGGATAACTGCAGCAGGTACAACCTTTCCAAGAAACTGAACACAAAAGAACATAATGAATTAGCATTGAATGCTTTTTGCTAAAATATAACTCTATTTCTTCCTCACTAGTGAAAATACTTCAATTCTACCCTGCAGAGAGGAAAGACTTTCACGAGTAGGCTTAAACTTTAAAATAAATTCTGAATTATAATTGGGTAAGATATCCAAGTTCTACATTCATTCCTCATTCTGCTGTCACAAAATAGCACTGATTAATAGTTTCCTTAAATGAACCCAGAGGTAAGTGAGAGATCTAGATATCCAGAGATAATTTAAAAACAACATTTCTAGGGACAACTGTGTAAGTAAATTACCATAAATATTAGGGAAGATGTTTGTTCCTTTCAAAAGAATAAACCAACCTCCTCATTCTGATCAAAACCCTATTTTCTGACAAAGAGTCTAAGAATACAAACTTATTTGTGCAAAAGCAGCAGCAAGTGAGACAGTGACTACGAGCGAAGTGCAGCCTGCTGTGGGAGGGAACCTGCGGTTAACCTGAAAAGGCTCAAGATTCCAACAGCGAGGAAGAAACGACCAAACCTCAACACTGCAACAGCGCAGGGCGCTTCTAACACAGGCTCTGGAGTCAGCAGAGCCGGAGCTCAAATGAGCTGTGCAACAAAACACTGACCTCACGGAGGTTTTTGTTTTTCATTCAGGATTTTTTCCTGCAAGACTCAGGTACTACTGCAGGTGCTGGGGATACATGAGAACAAGACAAACACAACACTATGCTCACAGAGCTGAGAGACTGGCAGCCACCTGGATGCAATGTGGCAACAACCAAGATAAAGAACAAGTCCAGGGTCTAACGAAGCCGTGACTAGGTCCCTAATTCACCAAGGCATGGATCAGGAAACCTGCTGGGAGAACAAGTCCGCTAAAATCCCAAGGCTGAGGAGGAAAGCAAACATGCTGCTAGGACATGCACAGGCAGAGAGCACTGGCCTGCGCAAAGGCCCGAAACAGACCGCCTGACACTCGGGGAGTCAGCAGTGACTGTGGCGGGGCCACAGGCGCTGAGATGCAGAAGGTGCCCATGGAGCTAGTCAGATGGAGCCTTCAACTCCTCAGAGACTTTGGGTTTACACTGAAAGGAATGGGCAGTTGGTCCAAGAGTTTTGAATAAGAGTGACAAAGTCAGTTATCGTGCTCAAAACACCAGTAGCAAAGCCGTGTTCAAGGGCATGTAATTTGAAGTCAGACTGCCTGTGGCTCTGTGACTTAAAGGCAAGCCATATGACCTTCAGCAAACTACCTACCTGCTCCATACCTCCACTGCTCCTCTGTAAAAATGCAAGTAGCAGAACCAATGTCGTTCAATTGATACAAAGACTCAATGAGTTAATAATTGCAAATCACTTAGCCCAGTGAATGGCATACAATGTTTTAGTTTATCTTTTTTGACTTCAAAACAATTTTTTACATTTATTTATTTATTTGAAAGAAAGTTACAGAGAGAAAGGGAGAGAAGGAGAGAGAAAGAGACCTTTCATCCACTGGTTCGCTACCCAAATGGCTGCAACAGCCAAGGCTGGGCCAGGCCAAAGCCAGGCGCTTCATCCAGGTCTCCCATGTGAGTGAAGGGCCCAAGCACTTGGGCCATCTTTCGCTGCTTTCCTAGGTACATTAGCAGAGAGCTAGATCAGAAGTGGAATAGCTGGGACACAAACCCAGTGCCCATATGGGATGCTGGCATTGCAGGCTGTAACTCACTACACCACAACATTGACCCCCTTTAAAATTCTTGCTACAGGGGCCAGCACTGTGGCGTAACAGGTAGTTACTGCCTGCAGTGCCAACATCCCACATGGACACTGGTTCCAGTCCCAGCTGCTCTATTTCTGATCCAGCTCTCTGCTATGGCCTAGGAAAGCAGTAGAAGATGAACCAAACCCTTGGGTCCCTGCACCCACATAGGAGACCCAGAAGAATTTCCTGACTCCTGGCTTCAGATAAGCCCAGCTCTGGCCACTGTGGCCATTTGGAGAGCGAACCAGCAAATGGAAGATCTCTCTCTCTCTGCCTCTGCCTCCCTGTAACCCTGCCTTTGAAATAAATAAATAAATAAATGTTTAAAAATTAAAAAAAAAAAAAAAAAAAAAAAAACACCATACTTCCTACAGTGTGGAGAGAGCTCCAGGAGTAAAGATAGGGCTAAAGACAAGGCTATCGTTTTGGGAGGTTGTTACAATCCAGGGCATGACAATGATTACAGGGTGGTACTGAGAGCAGAGAGAACCTAATGAACCTCAGAGTTGTTGGTAAGGACCAGACAGAGAACTTAAACTGGGGACCTGGGAGGCAGGGCTCGTGTCTAAGTTTTGGTTTGGGTGAACAGTGGTAGGGCACGTGTCTAAGTTTTGGTTTGGGTGAACAGTGGTGCCATTTTCTGATACAGAGAGAAAGAAAAGTAGCGTTGGGGAGGAAAATCAGGTTTATTTTCTTCCCTCAAATATGGGAATGCACCTGCTTCATGTTATTACAAAGGTAAGTGAACTGACAGGCCACCTTCCCATTCCAACCCTGTCCAAATAGTTGACTCCCAAGCAACACTGTTTTAGGCACACAATCATAACAAACAGTCTGATGGCAGGAAAAATATCCCAGCACTTAAGAGCTCTCGCCACAATGAATGCACTATACCTGTCTGGCAACACCACAGATCAACAGTGAGCTTTTAAATGTTCCTGAATGTTGAGGCCAGTGCTGTGGCATGGCGAGTAAAGCTGCCACCTGCATGGCGATATCCCATATGGGTGCTGGTTCGAGTCTGGACTGCTCCACTTCTGATCCAGCTAGCTCCCTGATATGGCCTGGGAAAGCAGAAGATGGCCCAAGTGCTTGGGCCTCCACACCCATGTGGGAGACCTGGAGGAAGCTCCTGGCTTTGGATTGGCACAACTCCAGGCGCTGTGGCCATTTGGGGAATAAACCAGCAGATGGAAGACCTCTCTCTCTGCCTCTGCTTCTCAAATAAATAAACCTTAAAAAAAAAAAAAAAAAAAACTTGCTGAATGTGTAGCCCCTGCAGATTCCTTATCGAATGGGAGAATGGGATGCCTGCTTAAGTCCTAGCCTAACCCCCAACGGTGCAGTGAGAGCAGGGTCCTTCTCATTCTTCCTTTAGGTGTTGCCGG